CAATAACACATACGCATATATATATATATATATATATATATATAAGCATACATGACAGAATGTACTACGATTTTTGCTTTGTGAGTCGAGTGTATAGTTACACCCACACACATGTCCTGCTTGTCTAGACCAGAGAGAAGAAAAAATCCCCAAGCAACTTTAAACCAATGCCTACTAACAATTTTGAGAGAGTAGTGAGAAAAGATGGCAAACGAACGAAAAAACCTCCTCTTCTATTTTCAGTCTCCACCTTTCTGGGTGCAGTGCTTAACACTAAGGCGAACACTAAGAATGAACCATCCCACTCAATGCTAAAGAAAAGAAATACCGATACATTGCAAATGTGGTGAATAAAGAATGTTGTTCTACGGGATGAAGCGACACCACACAGTCGAAAAAGAGAAAAGCTAACATGAATCTTATTGATGCGCGCGATTAGCAAGCTAATGGAGGGTCATATTTCATTCCTTTTCTTTTTTTTCTCAGACAAAGTCTCAGTTTTAGACTACACACACGAAAAAAAGAACCACATTGTGTAAAAAGATAAGCGGTAGACAAATAGGCTAAAAAAAAGAAAGTAAAAACAAATCAGAAGAACAATATCAAGGCTTTCCTTTCTTTTTTTCTCATTTTCATTATTTCTATCATTTAGAAAAGTATACAAAAAAAGATAGGTCATATTCTATGCGTGGGATTATGGTTTCTGCGCTACATCCACCCCTTCGCTACCTTTGTCTGGTGATGTGATCCCCATATTCTGATTCTCTACGGTTTGTTGTTCTTCCTCTTCGTGTCCTTTTTTTTTTTGCGATGCTAATCAGACTAAGAAATACTTTATCATTCCTTTAATACATTCTGTTCTTCTTTTCATGCATAAGCTTCCCTCGCAATTCTCAATCTTGAGCCCCACTACGCATCTTGGCACTCATCACATCTGGCAGCTCCCACAAGTCATTTTTCACCTTATAAGGCTTATCCATAAAATTCTGAGGAGCTTTTTGCCAGTTGAAGTACGGATTCGGATACTTCTTCCCCGATCGCCACAAGGGCAAGTTTTCATGCGTCGCATTCTCCCAGATCGTGTTCTGCAGATGACCAGAGGTAATGCGTAGATACCGGAATTGTGAGGCGCTGTTGTTGCGATTGGTATCGGGATCCACGCGGTGCTGCAGATCGGGAGCTAGGGACCCCCACGCCGCTTGCCGTTGCAGGTCCCTATCCGCCAAGTAGCTATAAAAGAACCGCGTCCCCGCAGAGATATTACGCCGCGAGTACTCATAGTACATCCCCACGAAGGTCGTGAAGCTGAACCAAAAGAGAGACTTCTTCCAGCGCCCCATGTAGAAGGCGTAGCCGAGCGCCGGCCACACACTCGCGGCCGCGCGGGCGAGGTAGCACTCCTGCCCCTCCTGCCACGCCCGCTTCCAGGCGTTCGGCGAGGGATCGCGAATCCGAAAAGGCCACGGCCCGTGGGTATAAAGATACTCGTAGGAGTAAAAATAACCCCCCACCCCTATAAGGCCCGCCAGATTCACCCGAATCGTCCCCATCATAAGCACGATCGCCCAGGCGAACTTCGTCCGCGGGTTCCCGGTCGGCGCGAAGCTGTTTTGCGCCTTCGCAAAGAACAAATTAGCATGCCAGACGTTCAGACCGAGCATCCACAGCCGTACGATCTCGCTTGTGTGGTGCGACTCCGTGTACGGGACCTCCTCGTAGGCCCCGATGAACTCGTTTAGCGAGATGTGCCCGAAGCCGACCTTTTGGGTGCCAAAGCGACGCGCCTGATGCGTTTCGTCAAGGGCGTTAAAGGGGGAAGACACGTCGACTAACGGACGTGGCCCTTCCGCGTGCTTGGGCGACACGTAATTCCACCACCACGTCATTCGATAGGGCTTCTCATCCTCCGGTCCCTCACCGGTATGCTTCTGCGGAAGATCCAATCCCTCACTTCTCAGGATGCTTTCATTAATTTTTCTAGAAAACATTTCGCGTCGTTTTGCTTCTTCCTTTGCGTTGTTTAATAGGGTAGGGACACGTCTAAGCTACTCTGGCTGTCTCCTTATTAATATTATTATTAGTATTAAATTGTGTTTCTACCTTTCTTCACTATGAAGAATAATAAGAAATACGACTTCCCTTTCTGTTTCACTTCTAGTATGGATGACTGTCTTTTATTTTGTATTCTTTCGAGCGCAACTACAATAGCAATAATAATAGGTAAACACAAACAAGGAAGCGCTTTCCTTTCCTAATATTTAAGTATACGAGATGCGGAATATATACTAGATAAATAAGTTTCCGCGTAAAAAATACCTAAGAGAACAAAATGCACACAAAAGCGAATAAATATGTACGACACAGAAGACAACCTAACACGAGCTTGATCCTTCGAGAAATTACCTCTGGTGTTGTGATTGCTTCTTCTTGTTGTTGCGTTGAGTTGATGTGATAGTCGTTCGTTAGTTCCCTGAAGGAACGGATTGAGAAAAAAGGCTTCCGAGTGCTAATATATATTAAAATATCTACTTGGTTTACTGTTTCTCTCCTCTAGGCTGTTGAATACGTAGTCCTGAGGGTGAAAAGTAAAATATATAAAAAACTATCGAAACAAACGAAAAAAATATTCCTTTTCTAAAAGGGAAAGCTTTTTCCGTTGTAAACGAGAAACCTACACGCCTCCAGGGATGACTTTCCTATTTTTTAGATGATTTTCAAATTTTTCATAGAGGAGTAAATATACCTACTTTGAATAGGTATTCCTCCTAATCACGACACACCTATAGTTTACCCTAGTTTACAAAGAATACAATGGGAAGAAAAACAGTTTGTTTAAAATCACAACTAACCGATTGTTGACATACCATCCCATCCAGAACTGTTGAAAGGTAATTCATTCGTCGAGTCAGATAAGATATCCCTCTAGAAAACACCCCATAGAACCATTTTGATGCTTCCTAAATTCACTTTTACAGAAATTAAAATTGAACTGCGTTATAAACAATCAATCAACGTGTATATAGAACTCACTTTAAAGCATAATAGTGTTTAAAAAACATTTTAAAGAAACAAAGGAACTGAAGTGAGTTGAAGGAATAAAATAACACACCACGATAATCACATCTCCATCCATCATTTTTCACATACACTAACTCTTTTCAGTCAATTTAAGCAGAAAAATATTGACTTTCATTGACTTCTTCCAGTGTGAGATAAAATTCGCTCGAATGCAATTAATGAAAGCTAAGGGCCTAATTCAGAACCATGCACACAATTCTGACCTTAACTACATGTGTGGATTTACTTCGTGCTTGATTTTTCTTTTTTCCATACTACTACCATGAAGATATACATATATACATGTTCTTCCACTCTTCACATCCACAATTATTCGGAGGGTACTTATTGGGAGAAATACCCCAGGAATATTTTCTTTCCTCCTTTTTAGTTTGACCCTTTCCCTATATATTGTTTATGTATTGAATGCTTCTTAAATTTATTTGGAAGTTATTCCATCATTTTAATGTCAATAAGACGTACTAGGAAGTTTAGAATTCATACTTTATATGGCTGAAGCTTTCAACTAACTTTCAAGAGGGAATGAGATTTAATATATTTTACTATCTCTGACTTTTCCAGCCCGGCTGCCTCATTCACCTGAACCCGCATGAACCCCTGGGACGCGCAAGCAAACGCATCAAAGCTGGAGCTGTAGAGCATCTTGATGCGCGGCTTCGCGGTGTCAGGAATCCACAGAATCAAGAGTAGCTTGCTGATTAAGGGCCCATCAACATACTCATAATCAAATGCTACGTAGCAAGGTTCGTTCAGATTGATTTGTTCAATAAATTGGTCATAAGTAGCCTCACGGGGTCCCACTTTTGTGGTCACGATTTCTTTCCCATCGCTGTTGATGGAAAAAACGGCGTAACGGGTGTGCTTCATGCGGACATCATGCATAGCTTTGGAAACATCATTCCCGAGGGTAATTCCTGATGCAATCATTTATTCTTTTTTTAAAAGATCAGTACGATTTTAATACCTATAATAAGCTGATAGTTAATCTGTGGCGTCCAATATAGTCTCTGTTGGCGGCTTTCTACGTATAAAAATAGTAAAAACAATAATAATGCAACCTGTCGGTTTGTCTGTGATGTAAAAATTAATAGCGTTAGGAGGTTAAGAAACGATTGGAGAAAGTAATTGAAATGAAATGATGAGGTACAATAATAAACAAAAGTAATCAACGTTAGGATGGATTTTACCACACCCTTTACCCCTCCTTTTTTCTTTCCTGAGGCTATCATTTCCTGTCAAAAGTTGTAGAGGTAAACAGGATAACTGCGCAATAATGGGGTAGTTGGGCTAAACGGGCCACCTCCTATTTTTTGCTAAGGCCTATCGCTGTATCGTTTCGCGTTTTCACAACCCCAGCGCCGCGCGTGTAAACGAGTCGTCCTCGTTGAAAGGTAAAGCCCACCCATCATACGATTTAACCAGCCGCGTGGTAGCGTCGGATGGCGTCGAGGGCGGCTCCGCAAAGGTAGCCACCCCATGACCCCCGTCATCCTCACGGAGCGCGGCCCTACGAGCGAGATCATCCGAAGCCACCAAAGGAGCCCCTCCCAAACTCCCGATATCCCCCACCATCGCGGGGTATACCATTCCTTCCAGGGATACGTAAAGAACAGCCACCAAAGCTTGAGGGCTTTGACGCACCCGAGACAGCCGCGAACGCGCGGATCGCCCTACCCCCGGGGAGGCGTCGAGAAGCCCATCGGGTTGGCACCAAACCCCATCACCTTCCCCGTGCACCTCCTCAAACGCCTTACGAGCGATCGCAGAGGCGTGCACGCTCGCGCGAAGCTCCACCGGCATCCGACGGAGGTACTGCTGGCGGACGCTAGACCAGCTTCCCAGCACGATAGGGGCTCCTTGACCGCCTTTTTCCTCGGCGTCGATGGGCTCCTTTCCGGTCTTTTCATTCGATCCAGAAGCCGAGGCCACGTCGTCGACCCCGCGTCGTGGTACCTTTTGTGGCGGGAGCGACCCATCCGAGCCCAGCGCCTCGGAAAGGGCCTCCGTAAGCGGCTTTAGGCCGAGCGGCGCGTACGCGGCGAGCTCCCCACGCGGCTGATCCCCCACACTCACCCCTTGCCAGAACGCGATGGAGCTTTCTAACGTCTGATCCGACGCAGCAACCGCCATCATGCGGTTTTCAAACCGTTGCCAGTGCTGTTCGGTGCGAACCAACTCGCGATGGCGGCGAACGATCACCGCCGCACAGATCCCCACTTTTTTCCCATTTGCCCCTGGTAGACTACGGGAGGAGGGCCAGATCTGCACGTGAACGTCGTAGTCTTCGTTGGGATCCTTGGATCGTGCAGGGTTCGCCTCATTGCGAAGAAAACGCGTTTCGACCGTTCTACCAAGGACGTTTACCATGGATTGGATGTAATCGCGTGGTCGCTGCACCCAGTCCCTGTAGAGTCCGGAACCATCGGTCATACCAAAGGCTTCTTGAAGATCCTGCAAGGTGCTTGTATGCCCTTGGTTGGTGTTGTTACTGTTGCTGCTATTCCCGTTGTCATCGCTATCCTTGCTACTGGCAGCTACATTTGCAGCTACTTTAATTCGTTGCGCCTCAGCAGCCTCTATAGCGTCGAGGACGGTGCGCAATGGATGTGTACGCTCACCCTTTTTAGCTCGCGCTGGTATTTGGGTGAACAGGTCAACATAGGCTTGTGTTCGCCGTAGCACAAGAGGCGGCAGCACATCCCCGATGTAGAAGGGCGCTGCAGGCACGGAGAAATGCATTTGTCAACCTTTTTCCTCAAATCAAAAGATTATTTAGGATGGAGTCAATAATAAAAATCGGTTGTATCCCCGAATCTAGAACATATGAATTCCCCAAGCATGCGGTCCATTATACAAAAAATGCTTAAAAAAAATTGCTCTTGGGTGCATCTTTTAAATTCTCAGAAGTAGTAGGGAGTAATATCTAAATCAAGTTGTAAGTAATACATACAGTATAGTTTAAAGGAAGGGGTTTAAAGAAATTCACGACGAAATGAAGCGATGGGTCACTTATGAATTATCACCTCATATGCGCTCTCTATATTGTACCTTTTTTTCTCTATATCAAATTTTGGATCACTCTCTAATTGCTCATCAACATGATGAGCTCTCCAGGCTTTTTTGGCTCTGGTGTATTTTATCTAAGGCCGCAAGCCCGTCACTTAGTGTTTTCATGTACAACTCCCACTCCTGAGTATCTCGTCGTTCGGGGGGCTTGTGCGATAGAAGTGCCTTCATATGGCGCCGTAACCGGCGCTCCTGACGGCCCAAACGTCTAATAAGAGCAGCAGACCTTGACTCCTCCGACATTTCGTACTGGGTTTCGACTGGGCGACTGTAATCCTGCGTATCATGTACAAGATCTACATCATCATAGGAGATCTTTGTAGTGGCCTTATGCGATCTATTTACATCCCCACTGGTTGCCTGGTCCGTCGAGACTCTCTTTGGAAGCGTTTGTGGCCATTGAGACGGAAAGGGCCGTGATGTGCTTGCCGTTCTCTTGTCGCGTGATCGGAGAAGCACCGCATTCAAAGGCTGTGGCACCGAGTACGACCTCCGACAGCGGAGTCGAACCGGCACGAAGCACCCGGTGATCCACCTGAACCCGCCATCACTCGGTCCCGCCGCCTTATCTGTGACGTAGGCCGACGGGCGAGGAGGCAGCAGCCCCGGGCCGCCGAATACGTACCCGCGATGGCAACGACAGTCCCCAAAGAGGTCCGTCAGCTCATGCTCACGTGAGCGGGGCCAGCGAAGGGGTTGGCGATCGGCACCTACGAGGATGCGGTTGTACCGGGCCCGGCAGGTTTCACAGTACGGGTTCAGCCGCCCACAGCTCAGTGCACGCCGTTCATAAGGGCGACGCGTGTCACGGCCCCAGGGCGGGGCCGAGGCCCCTCGTCCCCATTGGGACAGCCCCATTGAAAGCCCTTCTGGGCCATTCCCAATCACACCCTGACAGGACGGACTTGTCCTTTTCCTACCACGGCTGTGACAAAGGGGGGCGTCCCTGGACTTGTCAAGGCGGACCTCACCCCTCGAGCCCGTCGACACGGAAGGGGTCAGACCCGCCTCTGCAGCGGGAGACCGCTGTGGCGTGGGGGCACAGCCACGCGGACGCGGAGAGAGCTCCTTTTGGCTGTCAGCCCCGGCCTGGGGGGGTTCCTTCTGCTTTGCTTGTTCGCCGTCGTGGGATGGGGCGTGGCCTGCTGTGGACGAGGGCCGTGCACTCACCTCTTTAATCTTACTCATTGGGTCAACATGCGTGTGGGGTTTGGCTGGCAAGGACGGAGACGCGTCAGGCGGTTCAAGCTGAGGACTGGCATGTGTAGAAACTTGCAAGAGGTTTAGGAACTTTTGAAGCATCTCCACCGCCACCGTGGTGACCGGAAACGCTTCAGCTGAAGACTTCTTTGGGCGACTGTCGGGGCTCCCAGTGTTTCTCCCTTTCTTCGACACTGAGCGCGCCGACTTCTCTTTGGTATTTGACCGGAGCCTGCACTTCACTAGTCCACAGTCTGTTTTAGTTAAGCTTCGACTACGACGATGTTCCCTTGACTCCAATGAAGAGCTCGACCCTCCAGAACCACTCTCCGCACCGTGTGGCAAGTGCTCACCTGGGTATTGCACACCATCTCTACAGCGATCAGATTTTTCCATGTGTTTTTGTTTCAGTTCACTATCTAGATAGGACGGCAAAGCCGTAAAGCCTGCATATTTCGTTATTTCCCTTTCATTCCGAAGCCTATGTCGATGCCGTGAGTCACGAGAAGGGTGTTGCCGCTCTGGAGGGTGACGACCACCCCGCGACGACGAAGAGGTAGAGTGACTTTGCGAATCAATCGATACTGTGTCATGAGATGATCGGATAGAATGAATAGATGATGAGCGCAGACCGCGGCTCGAACGACTCTGGCGTCGATAGGAGGCGTGGCAATATTCACCTGACGATGGTTTCCTCCATTTGTTCGAAAGGCGGCTACCATGCCTTTTGGATCTACGTGTACATCTATGCCTCTCTGGAGACATTTCATGATCCGCATCATGCGCTCCATCCCCTTGATTGTCTATCTGTTGAGAAATCTTATTCTTACGGTAGGCATCACCTTGAGAGACGCGACCATAAGGGTCCTCGTGCGACTTACTCACTGATCGCCTTCTATGGGACCTAGGCCGGTGATGAGCAGACGCCGCTTCGGTTGTCCGTGTTTCCCTCCCACGGCTATACTCACGTTGCAAGGAGGGTGAAGGATTCATATCTTTCTTAAACCGCTCATTATTTTTCCCCGTTTTTCCCGCGTGTTGGCTTCCCGTGATGAACCAATTGACACGAGTATCTTGGACTTCTAGTTCTTGGCTACTGCCCCGGGTGCTCAATCTCGCTGCGCTGTCATTGGTGTTCTCGTTGTCTGTTTCTTTGCGAAAATCACGACGACGATTGTAGTTGATCGGATCGACCAAGTGGACTTTTTCATATCCCTTCTGGTTCGTCGAGGCGACAAGAAAACGACCATAGTTTTTCCGCTCATCTTTATCCGATACCCTTCCCGAACGATACCCCTCGTGCCTGCCTTGAATAGGATCACTGGACGGCTTTCTATTCCCTGCTCGATGGCCTTCGCGGCGATGCATCGTCTCTTCATTCGTAGCCCTAATATACTTGCTCCTTACCTCTTTACCTCCAGTCTCGTGTTCACTTGTTCTATTGTCTTGATCGGCGGTATGGTGGCCCTCTTGAACTCGCCGCATCGAAGTTACCAAATCACCGGACTTTTTCCCATCCGAAGGGTCTTTTGGCGGACGGGTCTCTTTATGCCGTCCATGGGAAGCGCCGGTGCCGCGGAAGACTCTTCGGAACATCGTCATATACCAATGCCGCAGGCAGGACTCCAGATGCATCTGCTCCCGTCTCCGTAAGAAGGCCTCGACCTTCCGCGTCTCGAGATGTCGGACGGGTTGGGAGGGTGGGGTTACTTCGGCGGACTGAGAAGACGTAGCCTGGGCGGCCACATCCGAGAGAGGCTCGTCTGTGAGGCCCGTGTGAGGGGAGTCCGAAGGATTCCGAGGGGAGGTCCCTCGGCTGTGTTTCCGGCAACCCGGGAGGGGCTCGCGGGCTGGGCAGGGAGGGGGGGCCTTCACAGGGCTCTCGGTATTCGTCGCGCGGTCTCGCCCGCGGGCGGGCTTTTCAAGCCGCTCCGTTTCCCTCCTCGGGAGCGCAAGGCCGGCCTTGGGATCGGTGTATCCTAGGCGATTGCTTCGGGGCCTCGTATGCACGGGCTGCGGGGCCGCACACACGATCGTCGGTCCGGATTCTGAGGGCCCCATCGTTGCCGTACTATCGACCAAATCGGTGTTGAGATAGGGTGCTACGGATGGGGACGCGAGCCTCGGGGTCTTCCTGCTGTCCAAGTTCATCTGTCGAATGCCAACGGGCTTCAGGATAGTCATCTCATGGACAGCGCTCTGCGAGTCCATATTGGGTGGTGAGAACCGACGGGACTGAAATAATGGCAACGGCATAGTCCTTATGGCAGAACTTTCAACAAGGGCACGATTCTCAGCTTTGTCATCTCTCAGTGATTCAGAAGATATACTGCCCAGATTCTTTTCAGTCACTGTCGTGATTCCGAGCTTGGATGGAAACACGTAAGAAGGTTGGAGGACAGGAAACGAGCCTGGATCAGCAGAGGTAATTGCTGACTGCTGCGCTTCCGGGCTATGACAGACCGTATCCACGTGCCTTGGTGTAATGATATCCGCGGCGCCTTCCAGATTTTCCATCGGGTATATACCGGAGCGCAGGTATTAATAAGAATACTAATCCTTTCGAGATTCCTACACGGCTTCCTCTATTCCTCTTTTCTTGTTGTCGTTTGTAGTATCTATTTTTGAATAGCCCCCAATGAACCTTTTCTATATAAAGGAGTGTGTTAGTGCTAAATTATATAAGATTTCACTATTTAGGATTTAACTAGGAAAAGACGAAATTTGAAGGCTGACTATAAATGTTACGGCTTCTCTTGTATCCTTTTGTTTTTAGGCAGGATGTTGTATTTTTATGGCCGCCGTATGATCCACTCCCTTAAACAGTTCAAAGAAGTTAAAAAGGAGAAGAAACGTGAATGTAGCGCAATATACAGCAAGCAAATATAGCGAGATTGACTTTTCAATCACGATGATCAGTGCGTGTGTGGCCAATACCCGAAGATATGCAGATGGAAAGGAACCTGAAAAGCATGCACCTTCAGACTGAAAGCATAGGGTCAGAAAAAAATACCATATATTCATTCCAGAAAAAAAGATCTGATGCAATCTCACGCTTTATTTACCAGCACTAGAATAAACAAATGGATAAAAAAGCCGCATGGATATGTCGAAGATTTAATTTTTGGAGAGACTTCTATTAGTGGTTTTAAAGAATTCTAGGGCAATAGAAACAAACATGATTTAGGTTCGCCGTAACACTGATTTTGCGTTGTGACCTCATTCAAAGGAATTAGGGAGGGGGAATGAGTTACTAAATATTAGTGCTTAATAAACAGCTTTGTGATTATTTACTCGTCACACACATGTAAAAATTTTGTGATGAGATTAATGAGAAGATACACCAAGTATCGATAGCGAAAGGGAAGCATAAGACTTCAAATAGATCTGAAAATATTAAAACTATCACTAAACTTTATCGATCAAATGTAAAGGTTTCGAGCAAATATACAAAGACAATCCCAGACTCGAGGATGTAACCATGAATACCCCCCAGGGCAATTGCACGTAGCTCCTCAAAACAGTAACAGAAACGCTCACGATATTATCAATGACAGACTATTGTCTTTTGATAAAGTTCACATGCAAATAAGTGAGAAAGTGTTATACGTGACCCCAAATGGAAAATAATGCAATGAACGCCTTGTCACTTTCTGGTACGAGATACATAAGGCACGAAAAAATCACTCCATTGCAATACAAACACACGATTTGCTGCATGCACGGGTTAGTTTTCCACTACGGATGTGCTTAATAAATATACTTGACAAATTTCGAATTTGTAAAGCTTCACACGTATGAGAGATTCTATACATGTGGTTTGATCCAGTGGTGTATGAAGAAAGAGGCAAGAACGCATACCGACATGCAAAACTGTGAGATCGGAAAAGATGTATTTTACCCTGATGCCTTCGAGAGAAGCACTCAACACGATTTCCTCCGCTTTCCCATCCCTGCTAATCTGCAACGCGGATTGACAAGCGGAGGGGGCCATTCAATCGGCATATCCATTCACTGTACGCCTTATACTTCTTCATTTTTTTAATGATACTATATCTTATGACATATTGCGCCGACGATGGGCATTCTTCCCTTTCGAAGAGCGACTATTACTAGTATCATGGCTGTTGTTGGACCTATTTGATGCCTTCGTGGACTGTTTTTTCTTCATTTCAAATTCCTCCTCCCGGAGCAATTCCTGGGCAAGGGCGGTGTACTTGGGCTCATTTCGGGCGTACTTGATCAAGCTCACGTGACTTATGCGGTACCCACGTGCGAGGAGCTCCGCGAGCACGCGTGCGATGTTCCGTGTATCATCAATGCCACTATGCGGCTGCCCCTCAAAGAACATACCCAGGCGCCTTAACATATGGGTTAGTTTCTTAGGCCAGGTCTTAAAATATTTTTGAAAGCACAACCGGACGTTGATGTAGCGATAGCACACCGGCGGGAACTCAATCCCGTCGCGAACCACGCTACACTCGTGCATAAACCGCCGCATATCCCACGGCCCATCGGTCGCGAAGCACACCATCTTTTCTTCCATCACCGACGCCCTTGCCTCGGGGGTGCGTTCGTCAAACGAGAAGTGTTTTTGCTCGGAGGCAATATTGCGCGAAAGCGCGTGGTCGCCGTAACGCGCACGCCACGCCACGCATAACGGATACACCACCTCCCGAAGCCAGGTATTAAACCGCTCCACCACCACCGGCAACGTCTCCGCGGCATCCACCTGCGCCTGCGTGATGCCGGTGAGCTCCGTGCAAAAGCTCGTCAGTTTCACGTTCTTTACCGGACGAACGTAGGCGTGAAACTCGGCAACCTGCTGCAACGTCGCGGTGTCAAGGACGACGACGGGAAACTCAATAATCTCATGCGGGTAGGACGCACAGGCGCTATCGCAGGTCGCCTCAAAATCACACACGAGAATATGCGAAAAGGGTTGGGATTGGAGGCATTTGAACGGCGGCTTCATGCGGATATTCAAGGGAGGGAAGCCGACGGTGGGGGCCGCGTCGGTGCCCACAACCGGTTTGGAAGGTGCTTCTCTTGGGTGTTTCTTTCCGAATGTGGAGGACCTCAAATGTGAAGAACCCTCATTTCCTTTGATGAGAACGTCAAAACGGCTCCCGGTGGAGTGGATTGGCGAGGATTTGGCCGCTCCCTTGGGGTCTGCAGACGAGGCACGGGAAGAAGTTGAGGGTTCCCGCGAGTTGGGAACGCTGTGGGATCGCGTATCGGGGGATTCTGCTTTGATGTCAACGTTGCTCATTCTCATGGGGTGTTAGTTATATAATTTATTATCGTGGCTATTCAATCAAAAGAGATAAACCCTTACACGAAAAGCGTTTCTTGACTATTTCAACAATAGTGTTAGGGGAACAGGGAAGGAAGTCATGAAGAAACGTTTGACGTCTTTATTAGCGCCTTCACAGACCAAGTCTAACGGGAGTTTAGGAAAGAGACCTTTCCTAAAAAGTATTCCTCTTCGGTGGTTGTTTGCGCTTCAATTTCATCGGATTTTGTTATCCAACGAGGAGGACGGTGAACGTATACTAACATGAGTACAGTAGGCGACTTAGGAATAGTATCAGATCACACATCCACACCCGCAGGGAAAAAAAATATGGCTATCTAACCACACAATACAAGAATTCATGTAATTCCCACCCATATGTTCTCACTATAGCGAGAAATTACATCAAAACAGAAATTTGTGATATAGAAGATGAGTTGGGATAACTTATCTGAGTGTATAAAGGGATCTATAAGCGAGCACCATCTTCTTTAAACTATTGCATTCGTGACATTTCTTCCTTATGTACACGAATACATGCTCCTTATTCCTTTTATCGAATATCATCCTATAAATGCAAAAATCAAAAGTAATATCACTATACAAAATTATCGCAATTTTTTTTTTGTACATATACAAAACATAGCAGACCAAGAATAAGAAAATACCCGAAAAAGCACTCCAAAAATAAGGGAATCTTAAATACCTAAGCACCAAGGTCCACTATCGTTTTCATCTCGTTCCGTTGAGATTTCTTATTTAAAAAAACTTTATGATTCCACTCATTTCAACTAACATCAGTACAGATTAGAGATGAATGGCGTTCGATCCCCTCAATAGATAGTATCTTATGACGGGCATCTCTATTTTGTACTTCATCTCATTCATTTCTATCATCGTTCATCGACTAAAGGATGAATTTCCCCTGCACACAATAGCAAAAAAAACAAAGGGAAGGATTATATGTTGAGTGCGTATTTCTACCAGGAACTAGTATTGTCAAGGTGACCCTTTACCCCTTTTTACCATCAACGCTTTTTTTGGAGGGGGGGGGGGAGGGGGGGGGCTTCACTTTAATTTGATCATCCATTTAATCACCACATGTGCTTAAACTACACTCATCAAACAAAGCATAGCCTCTAAATGAAGGGTACACAGAGGAACCAATACAAGCAAAAAACGGATGCGGAAAACAAAAAAAGAGGTAATAAGGGAAACAAGAAAGGTACTACAGATTCCTTCACCTTGATGTAACGGGTATGCGCGGTTTAGTTCTTATGAGAATGTTCATCGTCATCGACTTCGCGTCGCGTCTCCGGCGTCGCGTGGGCAAAAGAACTATTGCTACTCGGGGTGGGGATAGAGACGGCTGCCGGCGGGAGGAAAAGGTTCCCGCCGAGGATATCCACGGCGCCACCGATGCGAGTGTTCGGAGTCCCCGGTGAAAGGCGGCTCAGTGGGACCTCACAGAAGGTGCAGCCCCGCTGCAGCAGACCAATGACGATATTCGCCAAATTCCTGGCATCATCCATCCCATTATGCAGTTTCCCCTTGAAAGGCATATGGAGGGCATCCAGCATGGCCTTAATCTTGCCCTGCTGACAGTTGAAAAAGGCCGCAAACGACTTCTTGATGTCAATCCACTGGTAAAACATCGCGGGAAAGCGAATCCCCTGCCGGGCGACGCTGTGATTGTACATGAACTCGCGAAAATCGGCCGGACCATCTGTCGCGAAGATTGCCCGCGCGTTGGGTGGGATCGTCTGCCGATACCACCGCTCAAACTGCGCGACCACCTCCTCTAACGGGGCGGCCGCGTCGACGTCTTCCTGGCGAATGCCCGTCAAAGATCGACAAAACGCACTCAGCGTCGGTTTATGACGAGGTCGAACGAAACGATGGAACTCCGCCATCGCGCGGTGCAGCTTCGTATCGACGAGGACGACGGGAAACTCGACGATCTCATAGAGATACCCCGGCGGCACGTGCTCCTCACACGTCGCCTCAAAGTCGAGCACAAGAAGGTAGTCGTACGGGCACTGCGGGAGCGATGCCGGGGAGTTAAAGGCGAGAAGTGGGGAGATCGGCAGGCTCCGAGGAGTGAAGGACTTCCCAAGTGAACTCCCCACCCCTCCAACGAGGCTATTACTGGGGTTGTTGCTATTATGATGATGCGAAGGAGGGGTAGGGGACGTGGCGGGTTCCCCATGCCCGGTCGGCGATGCGGACGACGCCACGGTGGTGGAATTAAAGTAGGTGGCCCCGCCCCGATGAGAAGGGGAGGCGGCCGCGAAAAACGCGTGCGGAGCGGCACTCCGTCGCCGCATCATCTCCTCGCGGGATTCCAAACAAAACGTGATCGGCGGCGACGACCCCAGGCTGGTCGACGCCGCCGCCACGGAAGCCCCACTCGGGTTCGTCTTGCCGACCGGATTCGGCGCCCGAACAGGGCCGTTCGCGTGGCTATTGGGTAGGACGCGTTGTTGGGGTTTTGCGCCGCGTTGCGGTGGATTTTTCGCCGATTCCTCGCCCAATGGGAGGGCGGGAAAAGCCGCAGATTTGAGGCCATTGGACTCCGAAGGCCCCATAGGAAGGGGTTTGGGATCCCCACCATTCCCGTGCGGTGTCGTACTCGGTGGGGTCGTGAGCTCCGTCAGGAAGGAGGTTACATACCGTGAAGGGGCGTAATCCGCGCTACTTTCCGACAACGTGAAGGAATGGCGGGAATGAAACGAGGTCGCGTGAGGGTTCATCGGACTTTGCGCTTCCATCATGCCACTGGCGTCGCCATTGGCATCGGCATGAAGGTCTTTGGCGGCTACTAACTCGACCATGTGAGGCGCATCATGAGGTTTGTCTGGATCCGTTACCGCCGGTTTGGATCCACAATTCGCCCGCGCAGCTGCAAGGTAAGAGGGTTTCGAACCGATTTCTTTGTTCGATCGTTCCTCCCGCGTCGCCGATTCGTCGGGGGCGGGTGTACTAGAGGGCACCTGGTGCCAATCGACCCCAAAAGTGAAATCCAGAGCCTGAACCAGCTCCTCATCGTTAAGTACAAGGCGCCGTACGGTGGCAAAGTGATTCCGCACCGTATTCCATTGTTCCTCATGAACATCGGTGTGCGTTTTGGCATCGGACTCGGTTGAGCAAGAGCTCATTGCAGGGCTTCGAGAGGGTGAATGGCGACGTGAAGCATTCTTGCCACACCCTTGCCCCTCTAAACTACCGCGATTCCCTCCCACTCGACCGCTCGTGGGTTTATCAAACAATTCTAGCGACGCACAACTAAGCGCAATCTCACGCAGCGCGTATAACAACGAGGGAATGCTACTAGCATCCCCTGGCACCAGCTCCAACTGCTCATACGTAAAGGGATTGGTCCCGACCTGGGTAGGCTCCCGTTCGTTTCCCTGCTTTGATATTGCATCGGTGCGAAAAGAATCGGCACTACTCACACCATTTCGTGGATTCCCTAGCCGTGAATGCGGCCTGCCGTTCCCAATATTGAAAAGCGAAGGCGCGACCGTCGAATCCACGGCCCGGTCAAATCCTTTGCATACGCCAGACTTTCGAGTGCCCTCGGACGAAAAGGTGCTATGAAGGGGATCCGAATGGGAGGAATCACCGGGGTGGATCGCGGACGACCTCGCAAGCGGGGGTGTTGTGGGGTTTCCACCCTCCACGCCGATAGCTTTTCCCGCCCGGCAGGATTCCATACGCGTCTCCGCCGAAGGGCCTTGCATCAGACGCGACATCCACCGCACCGCGATTTGACGAGCCATCCGGCATCGATCCCGCAAAGGGCGTCGGGTAAGACGCGCGTGTGTGCACCCACTGGTTGGTTTTCCTTCCGTATGCGGGAGGGAAGGGGTTTCCTCGCCAGGGTGAGGGTGGGGAGCGAGCTCTCGCGCATCGTTCCCGTCCTTCAGCCCATTCGAGAAGCCCCATGAGGACGAGTCGGGCATCGCGATCGGATTGGATGAGGGGGGGGGTTGACCCCAGTACCTTGGGTAAAATTCATCGGATGACGCCAGGAGATTGTTTAGCGGGAAATGAGAGATGCGATCCTTATTACTACTAGTGCTTCCCGCATCGCCGTGAGGCCGCACGGTCTCTTTGGGAAAGCTCAAAGATTCGGAAATGTCGCCGGTGGGGAGCTTAGCATCCTCGGGAAAGCAACTATCTCGGTTCTGGGTGTAGGTCTGCAAGACGTCGACATTGGTGTAGGCGGAACCTATGCTACGACGTATCTTTGAATGGTGCTCCATAGAAAGTGCGTTATTCGACGTTTTCAGCGTTAGTGACTCCTGAATAGAGGATTCAATATCCATGCCGCGAGTAAAATCGACGTTGAGATGCTCTTTTCTCTCCCTCAAAATATCTCCTTGGGGCTCTTCGTTTCCCTTATTCCAATGATGGCTAATTTGTGGGATGCAATGAATTAGAAAGGATCCTTGAAGAGTAAAACAAATGTACAAAAGCCTACACTAAAAACCTCAACTCACACAGAAAAAGGGAAAAGGCACTCTCTGAGAGACCCTAGGAAACGATAAAACTGAGGGTAGATACTTTTTTCCGTTCTCTTTCCTTAGTTTTGAGTCACATTAATGCTAACTTCATCTGAGATAACAAATAACACTCAAGAATTAAAATTTATCTTCAATATGAAATAGGATTGATTACGCCTCCGTTTCCCCATTACTCCCCAAGATGCCAGATGAAACAAAGAAGGAAAGTTATGGAGTTATTTGTAGCAGAAAAACATCACAGCATGATATTTTAATACATAAAAAATAAGAAATTTAAATAACAGTGTAATTTTATGTCTGCCATAAACAATCAAGAAAAATGTTTCGATTATATGTTAGGATTAAAGGACCAATTCAGGCTTGATGTTAGCAACCTTTTCCCCTTTTTATGAGTCAGCAAACACTTTCCATGCAGTCTAGTGACTATTTTTTTGTTTAGTTGCTTGAAATGGGATTTTAAGGAGATGAAGCAGAATACTTTCAAAGATTGTAATTAAAAATTGTTCTCCGCACACATTCCAAGGAAAGAAAAGAAACTACCTGGAACACTACAAAGCAATGAGTACATTCAAAGCACATCAAATCAAAGGAATACTTTTTTTTCAGATGCACATATGGCGTTGCTTTCTTCTACTTTTCATTTTTTTTTAAGATCATTTCAATTAGAAAAAAAGAAAGAAAATACGCTCAATTGGAAATACTTTGCCTATACACAGTAGAATACCATACTAATCCTAGTTTTAGAAGCCCAGCGAAAAGTATTAGGACACACAATATTTTGATCCACCACCACCGCCATTGTCGCGAAGTATTCATAAATTGCCGGTGAAGAAAAACAGCATTACTATTCTTAAAAGAGCTCGGATGTTTTACACGGTAGTCTAATGTCGCTGCGCGGTGTTCCTTCCCAAAGGTAAAGTAGAGCTGCCCGAAACACTTCTTCGCAATATCATCTATAACATCTCGATCTACCTGACCACTGCCTTCTTTCCGCCTATAGAGTGGGTATCCCTCCAAGTGGTAATGAAGCCTATCCTCCAAGGGAATAGCTACAAGGAAATCAAATACACACCCTGCCTTCATCATTGTAATCGCTAAGCGCGCAATATTGTATGCATCATCAAAACCGCAATGTGGGCGCCCTTTAAACTTCAGGCCCATATGGGACAGCATCGCTTCTAGCTTCATGGGTGCACCATGATTAAAGTGCCTAGAAAAGGTGGTCCTAATATCCAAATATTCATAAAAAATACTAGGGAGACTAACATTATCACGCAGTACATGGTACTCGTAGAAGAACTTCCTGAAATCCCACGGGCCGTCCGCAGCGAAGACCGCCTTAGCCCCTCTCGGAATCGTCTCCAAGTACCACTTCTCGAAGCGCTTGATCGCTTCCTTGATGTCGGGTGCCCCATCGACGTCCTCCTGGCGTATACCCGTCAGCTTCTTACAAAAATCCGTCAGCGTCGGGTTGCGCCATGGCTTGATATAGGTCTGAAACGAGCGTTCCTTGTCGATGAGACCACGCCGCACGTCAATGAGCACGGCGGGCAATTCAATAACCTCGTGTGGGTAGCTCTGGTGGTTATCCTCGCAGGTGGCCTCCACATCAATGACGATGATGTAGTCGAACAACTGCTGGTCGAAAGGGTCCTCGGCATCAAAGGTGTGCTGAACGGGGCGGTTCTGCCGACTGCTGTCTTGAGAGGACAGGTACGACGAATCCCGACCATTGCCACTACGATGATGTTTGTTTGAGCTACCGTGCTTTTGATAACCATTGCGTGATTTATTAGTGAACATGTTGGCGCGCTTTTCTTTGTTGGCGGCCTGTTGCGCCTTCCCTCTTTTGTTATGACTAGGCATTTGGGCGTACTAGGCTCGGATTAGCTTGTTTCTAAAATGAGAAGAAAGAAGCGAAGACAGAAGCGCGATAGTTTCACATTCACGAAGTTTTTACTATTAGGTATTCTACATTTAAGTGGTTAATATAGGTGTATGTATGCAATGAATCACTTCAATTGCACTACTTACTGGTCCTGTAAACAATTCAATAAAGCCAGATAAGCCAAACACGAGAGGTGATGATACTGTGTGAGATTTATATCTGAACTGATGCTGGGATAATTCACATAATAAACTAAAAAAAAAGCTGGAAATGATCATTGAGCGTTCGAAGAAGTATGCGCATTAGGCACATCCCTACTTTCACTGAACGTGTTCCGAACCGAGAGGAGAAAGCAACGATCATACAGCGCCCGCAGTACCATCTGCATTTGCAAGGGTTGAGCACGACAGAGCAAGTCGTGGCTTCGTATTATCTGAGTTAGGGAGGATATCTCATCGTCGGTATGGATTTCCAACGCCTCATGTCCCATAGGCAGATACTTTAGCACCAGTTGCGCGTCTGGGGAACCCCAGTCCGAAGAGGAGTATGGTTCGCTGATATTGGCAACCGACGTCTCAGTCTCTTGAAACTCTTCTATGCCTTTAGCGCCTTCATGAACTTCTCTGGGTGCGAACATGATTCGCTGCAGAATGCGCACGGCGAGGTAAACCAGATCATACTCGTGAACCGTCGTGAGAACGGCGGCGACGACGCTTGCGAGCGGGATCAGGTCCGCGAGTCGCCGGATATCGCTGCTGCGCGGCAGAAACCAGTTCGCGCCGAGCGCCATAAACAAGGGTATCGTCACCGGGGAGCTCGACAATGTCGGGCAGCGCTCTAGCAGAAGCGCCACAGACCCCGCGTAGCCGTTCGCAATGGCGTAGTAAAGCGCCGTGCACTCGGCGTCATCCTTGCAATTCGGATCCGCCCCTGCATCCAACAACATCCGCACCACCTCCACCGGATCGGAGTTTGGGGTGTTCACCGCGCACAGGAGGGGCGTCCAGCAGAAGCCGGGGCTCACGATGAGGTCGACCACCGCGCAGTTCACAATCGTGGCGGCCCCATGCAGAAGGAGCATCTGCACGTAACGCGCGTTGCCATAATAGCAGGCGTGATGCAAGGCGAGGCCTTCCATCGAGCCGGTCGAGGGATGGAAAGGCGTGGACCTCCGACCGCCCCCGATCGATCGCGACGAGCCTGGATCCCCTCCCACCGAGAGCTCCACGTACCGCTCCCCACACGGCCTACAGAATAAAATCGGAAACGCATCACAGGCCTCCACGATGGAATCAAACATCTTGCGTGCCATCCCCACAATCACCCATAACCCGGTTTCTTGGGAGAGGGGGTAGCTCGCCAGGCGAAGATCGGAGGCCGCCCCTGGCAGCTCTGCTTTCTCCGCGTTCGTGATGGAAGGGGGTCGACTAAAGGGACTCGAGCCATGCCTTACGCCGTGGGCAGCACCTTTGGCGGATTGCGGCCTGTTCAACACTATCACGTACACCTCGCCAGGGGTCTCCGTAAGGGCGACGAGGTAATCCCCCGCAGCGGCATCCGGCCGGCGTGCGAACATCCACCGCCAATACTCAAAAGGCTTGGTCAGGCATAGGGACCCTCGCTGGATGCCCTGTCCAAAGTTCTCCTCCATCACAACCAGTGGTCCCCATACCTTCAGCAGCCTATTGAGGGAGAAGAACGACACCACCCCACAGTTTTTGTAGTTGAGCACCTCCATGAGCGGATCCCACAACCATTCAGGCCCGAGCTTTGGTAGCAGGGTCTCTTTAAAGAGCTGCGCCTCGCACGCCGGTTGGACCCCAACTGCAGCCGACCACATTCGAAGAACGGAGAGATCGCTCAATTTAGCCATCCCCCCATCGAATGCATCGTTCGCTTGGGTAAGACTATCTTCGCTTGAGCTCCTTGACGTTGCCTTGAGATACCAGCATATGTGCGCAAAGTGGACTTGTAGATCCGCGTGGATGTCGCAGAAAGTGTCTGCTAGATCGTACGGCATGACGTCAAAGAGGGGTTTGCACGCAAGTGCTTCTGAAATTATTTCCTGAAATACAGCTTTCACATCCGGCTCCAGAATCACAGTTTCCACGATGGTGCAACCCTTTTCCAACTGCATTTGACCTCGACTCTCAGGGGTCATTTTGGGCTTTTCACCGTCAATGTTAGCGGAGCCGTTGGTTGCGACAACCTTGGAGGTACCCTCAGGTTTATTTGAGTCCACCCGGAGAGGTCCTACATGGCGCTGATACGCCCTCATTGCAACCAGGCCCTTCTCAAGGAGCTTGCATAGAAAGCGCATGAGAGTATGGAGTATTTGGTCGCGATTCACTTGCATCAGGAAATCACATTCTGCCTCCAAGGGAATCATTTGCATAAAGAAACAGTGAATTTTCTTTAGAATCGGGAAAATTTGTATCGACAACACGCCAGACTCCGTGCACAACTGATCGAGTTGTGAGGTCAAGGCGAGCGTCTGGCCAAGGGGGGTACCTGAGACCCTCTCAATATGTGAAACCATCGGCAACAAAAGCTCTCGGCACGTCACGTACTCTCGCAAAAAAAGAATAAATTCCTGAGGACTTAAAGGAACCCCGTCTCGAATATCGGTAGTAATGCGACGTAATTCTTCAACAATCCGTTCTGCTTGACGAGCATCCCGAGCTGCAGAAGCTAAATCAGAGACCACTTCACAAAATTTAGGATAGTTCGACATATCTGCACTACACACCGCATGGGCAGTGGCGCGGATATGTGGAGAAGTAAAGTGTTCTCTCTTTTGGGACAACAGTTGTGATCCATTAGATGAGCCCTGAGAGGGGCCGAAAGGGGTGGCACTCATATGAGACTACCTTTTTTCCCCCTGTTTATTTCTTTGAATGCTCTTTGCGGGAAGGGCGGTACCACCGTGTTGCACCACCAACGTGCCGGATTACAGGGCTTAATTTGACTGAATACGATGAGGGAGTGAATAAGATAGAAATAAAATGGAAATCTCATCCCAACACACAACCATGCTGCCCGAAGCAGTGAATGGATGGGTGCGGAATAACATGTGGTGTGTAGCGCGTTACCTGTTTTTATTGCATTCAGAACCAAAGACTGGTTTCATTTTACTCCTTTACATAGGCTCATACACGAAGAGGGAAAGAGGAATCCATACAAATACATATCACACAATATTTTACAATGGTTATGGATATTGTACACAATTAAAAAGCAGTTGCAGGCAGTATCAACAAAGGGGGTAAATAAGAGAGCCATAAAAGAGCCTCTTCGAGACTCAGCACAACACCAGGTGGCGTTGCTTCTCAATAGACCCTACTATTCCCGCGGGAAAAACTTGTTTGCCTTCCAGTTATCCCAAGAGTAGTCTTTCCGTTTGCTGAATTTGTGGTTTACATTAACACCTCCTAGACGTTTGTCAAGAGGCTGGACGGCCTCCACGCTGCGCTGCAGGAGGCATATGGGCGGCAGCGGATCGAGCTTAGCCCCGCAGCCACCTCGCCTATCCGTCGCCATCCCAACAGGCGCGAGGGGCGTCTTCAGAACGGCGCCACGCGAACTGGCGCTGAAGGACTCCACGAGTGGGGCGCCTGGAGTCCTCATTGCGTGGCGTCGTGTGGATTTGGATGTTTGGGGGGAGATGACGTACATCGTATCGTAGCCAAGCTCACGCCAGTACGCCAGCATCTCCTCCGCAGGTTGGGCGAGCGCGGAGGAAGAGGAGGGGGATTGAACTGCCTCGGGGGAGGAGGGTTCCGCGGTCTTAACTCCCGCCCCGTCCTCACCCACCGCATCCTTGGCATTGCTTGAAGAAGAGGGCTCCTCGGGCAGCTTAGGCTGCATCCCGTTTCTCGCAATCTCGTCCGTTTCTGTGAGGAAAACAATAGCATTATCCGTCTCGCGAGACCACGTCCCTCGCGGATTTACTGAGGATGACGCGACCGCTACTGGCGGGCTCTCTGGTTCAGTTGGTTGGATACCATGCGAGGATTCCTTCTGCATGTAATCTACCATCTCCTTGAGCTGACCCTTAATCATTGCAGCAGGGATGTATTGCAGCGTGTTGTGGCCGATCAACCGATCCGCGGGTGGGTCCGCCGCGATCCGCTGCATTGCCTTCATCCGACCGGCCATGGCCCTCTCAAAGAGCTCTTCGACCAAATCAAAGTTGCGCTTGGACGTGTCGCGTTTTTTTTGAACACGCTGCAGCTGCAGTTGACGGCGCTGTTGGATGTCAGCCTGCTTGTTTAAGCTCCGTTTCCTACGCAGAAGGGCGCCGCTATCACTATGACCCTCATTCTGGGATCCGTCTAGAAAGTCTCCTCCACTCATCCACTCGAGAATCTGATTACTATAGGATGTGTAAGTTTTTTCTACATCTCCGTCCTTATAATCGCAAGTCGATTCATTAAGGTCCTGCTTTTCATCTATGGAGGAGTCCTGCGCGCTGACCGATACATTGTCTTCAACAAAATTTACCACTTGCTTGGGCGAGGCGCTGCGTGAAGTTTCCACAGTGGTTCTATCATGATTCTCACTCGTCCACATCAAATACCTTATCTTCCTATTAATATGGCTAAGGTACAAATTAAACCAATCTTAAGAAGTTTCCTTCGCAAGGAGAAAGGAAGAAGTTCAGTAAAAAAATATATCAACACTATAATACGTCCTACGTCATTTGACAGTTAGCTAAACAATAAAGGAGCTGAAAATTAAATTTACGTCTTTTAAAATACTCACGGCCTCCTTTCGGGAAGTACCATCACAGCATCCCTTTATCCTCCCTCTCCACAGCCCCCGATTCATCCGCGTAGCTCTCCCTGTCTTCCCGTGTTGGAGAGCGTGCGCCATCACTAAGCTGTGCAAGCGCAAAGGCCTCACAGGGCCCACCCAGGCAGGTGTGGGGCTGCCGAAGCTGCCCGAAGGTGATCCGGCGCACGGCTTCCGGAATTTCATCACACCCCTCCCCAATGGTGACCGTCCCGAACGAAATCGGCGCATCGACGCTGCTGAACTGAACCTGCCAGTTCTCCGAAAACCGCACGACGTGGCCGCCGAGCTGCTCGGCAGGGGGTCGCACCGTCTCCTTCCCGAGCACCTTTTCCCCTTCCAGGGCGCACCCATCCCGGCCACGATCAAAGGCGTACTGAATCCGCCGTGAGGCCTCTGGGGAGAAGGGCACCCACCAATGCCCCGCGTGCGCGACGGGCTCGCCCGCCGCCGAATCCGCCCGCGAGTCCACGGGAGTTGGAACCTCATACCACCATTGCGGCGCCCCGATGCAACACCGCCGCCCGCCCACGCGATCAAACTCCTGCAGAACCGCCTCACAACGCAGAACGCGGTAGGCAAAGCCCTGATCGCGAAGCCAGCTTTGCCGTTCATAGCTCACCCGCACCTCATGCGTGTCCTGCGAGACGAGGGTGTAGAAGTACGCGCAAGTGTTATCTAACGAAGGGGGTTTAGGCCGTAGAATGCGCCCCAAACGCTGCGCTTCCTGTCGGCGAGACGCGCCGAGGCCGGAGATTTGAATGATCACCGACGCACAAGGTAGGTCGAGCGCGACGTCGCCGACGCGCGTCAGGATGATCGCATTCACCTGATCGGAGTGCTGGAAGTACTGAAGCAGGTTCTCCCGCTCCGACTCGCTCGTCTCGCGGTCCATGAAGGGGAGGTGGAGGTGGTGCGCGTAGTACCGGACGTCGGCGAGGTAGTCGCAGAAGATGATAATCTTGTCCGGTGGCGAGCGGTTTCGGTGGAACTCCAGCAACGCTTGCGTACACCAGAGCTTGTAGGGGTTGCTGATGGCCACACTGCGCACGAGGGCTTGCAAGGTGTTGCCGTTTGCGTGATGACGGCGTCGCTTTCGGAGACCCCGGCCACCCCCCTCCAGTTCATTATCTTCGTCCAGGTCGCTGTCCATTTCCTTAGGATCGAGCCCTTTCAGCCTATTCGAGGCCACCGTGGTGGCGAAAACATACTCTGTGAAAAAGGACGCCGGCATTGGACACTGCACCTCCGCACACTCCATCTTCGCCAGGAACCCAGCCCGTGTTAGCTCAAGCCAGTTTGCTTCGTACAGCTTGGGCCCGACAAGGTGGCGCAGGTTCGCGATCCGGTCGTCCTCGCGCAGGAGGGTGGCACTTAGCCCTAACACACACTTGTACCGAATCTTGTTAAGTACCTCTTGAAAGTGACGCGCGAGGGCGGTGTGAACCTCATCTAACAGCAGCAACCCCCAGGTGTTGTTCTCCACCATACCAATGATCATCTCCGACTCTTTCGCCGTCAATCCAGTTGCGTTCCCGCGCTTGGCGATCAGCATGCTGTAGGTCGTGATGAAGACCACCCCAGGCTTTTGCTTCAGCTTTGCGGTGCATATCGTGACGTCCTGCTCGCGGAGATTCGTCCAACGCAGGAACTCACGCTGCCATTGAAAGACGGACATGTTGTTGATGCACAACACGATCGTACGCTTCTTCATGGTGACCGCGGCACCGATCCCTGTTAAAGTTTTGCCTGCGCCACAGGGCAACACCACAACGCCCTGGTGCGCCTTGTTACCACGGCGGAAACGCTCCAGGCTCGCCACTTGATACATGCGCAGCCGCACCTGATTTGTAAAGGTTAGGTCCTCCACGTGCAGCGTTGTGTCCTGCAAGTAGTCGTAAAAGCAATCCGCACGCACTCCAAAACGTACAAACAAGCGCTCCTTTAGTTCCCGTAGCTTCCCGTGTTTCACTTGACTCTTATAGACAAGACGGGTGGAACGGGGGTGAGAGCCGTTACGCCTTGAATTTTTTCCCGATGCCTTTGAAAAGCCATCCACATAGGGTGGGATAGAGGTGAGGAGTCGACGGAGCGCAGCCGGCCGGCCAGCCTCGGGCATATTCGTTTCCTCGACACTACGGTCCACATCGGAGAGTACCCACCGCGTCGTACCGTGTAATGTGATGGGCTCCAAGAACTCTTTCAACTCCCCAACAACCATCTCCAGGTGCTGCCGATTTGTCGATACAATGAAGTAAAAGAGCTTCTCCTCCTCTTTTCCTGCGTCCGCGGGGATAGTATGCGCACCGTCGGCTAAAATAGCTGGAGTTGGCGCATTCCTAAAGCGTCTGAGTCTCGGCTGCAGTACAATCTGCATTTTTGAAGAATTTTCCTCCTCAGCAAGTAGATCCTCAATCAGGGCGGGTAGCGGTCGCGGTGTCCACTCCTCTGGCTGCTTTAATGCAAGAGCTACTAAAGGTGTAGTCGTATAAAATATATTTGGCAGCTTCCGCTCATTAGAGCCCTCAGCAGGAGTACCCTTTTCACTCTTAGGGCCACCTACTTTCAACGAAAGAACACGAGGGTAGTACTCTTTAGCTGAAGTGGCTGCTGAAGAGGAGATCCTTGCCATATTCACGCAATTATTCTCAATCACGCAATCCCGTGTGGAAGACTGCTCAGCCTCTGCCGGTTTCCGTTCGCCTGCGGTGCCCAGACACGACGGGAATTTCCTCCAGTAGGAGACCCTCAGATCCTCCCCTGCTGCCTCGCCTGAGTCGCCGTTTTCCATCTCACCGTCAAGCTCACTGCTTCCTGAAAAGGCAGATGAGAGAACCCATGCCTCGATGTCCGACAGCTTCTGAAGGTCAAGCGGGAACTCGCCTGTGCTGTCTGTACGGTAATAACGCAGAACGTTGCGAATCATATCACAGGTATAGGTCCCCTCTGCGTTCGCTGCAGAAATAGAGGAGCTGTCGATACGATACTGCTCAATGTGGTGGGTGCGGCTGACTGGCTCACAACATGAGATAAGAAAGTCAACAACATGTGGGTATGCCGGGTGGCCGGTTTCAATGTACAGATTGCCTGAATCGGCGACTAACATACGACCATCCGGTGTTTTCTGTCTATGATATATATTAGTGTTTCAGTCGGGAAAAAATGCAGGACTAAATTTTCTAATATGGACCAATCGTCGTGAATGGAATAAAAAGGGTGATATGATAGACAACTCACGCACAGATAAAGATAAGACTAGAAACAATTAAGAGGCAGTAAAAGCACTAGTTCAGACAAAAAAAGGAGAGAAATAGAGAAAAAAGACCGAACCTTAGCATACTTTTTTATCTTAAAATCACAGCATCACAGAAAAAAACTGGATTAGGCAGCCATAGACGCAATTTTGTATATTGCCAAAATTCCTGTTGGAAAATAGTTATGTAAACATTAGATCGCTATTAACTTCCTCTATAAATTTCACTGTATTTTTTGAAAATAACCAGCACGAATCCATGCGCAGGCCAAACCTATAACAAGCCGTTAATTTTATCAGCGGAATATTATTGAGATTTTTGCAATTAATTGCATAATAGTATTCGATTCCATCCATATAGTATTAGCTATGACAATAAAGTTAGAATTCCACGAACAAAAACAGCTGGATAGTATAAAAATGTCGATGACTTTTCTTTTATTCACATTATTATTGATTTTTTTTTGAGTTCAAAAAAGTCACTAATATCTGGGAGTCTCATTGGAATGCTTTCCTTGCGACAGATAAGAGGGTAGGATACTTTTCGGAGCAATCGTGTTCGCAGGCCCCGCTATGGCAGGTCTGGCTGCAAATCTTGCCACAGCACGGTATCACCTTTTCACAGCGCTTGCCACACGAGACACTTGTCAAGTAACATGCCATGTGGTATGGCATCGGTTTTCCGTGCGAGGAGCAGAGCTTCTCTACCGGCACCACACACACTGGACAGCTTGAATCTGTATGACAGAGATGATTCGCCGGGTGGCCACAAGGCCGAGGCTTAATGCAGGGGTACTTGCACTTTGGGGGTTTCGCCCCACATGGGACCGGTGGATCGATGAACGTGCGGCGGCAATGACAATAAAGCCGCGTGTAGGATACATTCTGGCAAGGCGAGCAGGGCCCGGGATGACAGATTTTACCACACTGATGCTGGCCACAGGAGAGCTTCTTAAGGCAAATTGCATAACAAATGTGCTCCACGTCAGTGCAACAGAGTTCATCGCACTTATGCTTTTTACAAGAGAGCAACTTTCGGCACACTTTGTTGCAACGCAGTGGGTAGCAAGGCGGGAGTTGATTCTTTGGGATTCCAGCCCTCGCGGCGGCCTCGATCCACTGATCCTGCGGCAAGCTAATGCAAAAGCAGGGAAAAGAGTACTCCTTATTAAGGCAGGCACAGCGTTCCTTGATTATCTCTTTGCACGGCGCACATGGTGAGTCGTCGTGGCAGATATACCAGCACGAGTGGCCGCACTGAAGAGGTAGTTCGCAAGGCTCCCCACAGGAGGGGATAGGGTCCGTACAGGAGGTACGCACCACCGTGATTTGATTTTTCCCACATGGGCATAAATGTCGACGCGACGGCAACCGGAGACAGATATCACAGCTACCGGCATGACAGGGAAGACCACATATATGGTTTCCACAATCCCGAAGCTTGGCGCACGGTTTGTTGCAGCTGAACTCGTTATCTTCCTTGCAGAGCCGTGTGCGGCTGGTGGCACCACAGTAGCACGTCTCGGTCACCAGTACCTTGCAGATCGGGCATGGACCCGTGTGGCATAGCACCTCGCAGTGGTGGCGGCCGCAGTCGAGCAACTTTCCACAGGGCTGGTTGCACTCGAAGCCATCGATCATGCTGGAGCAACCCACCATCTTGATTTCCTTACCACAGTAACAAGCCTGTTCACGGGTGCACCCACAGGGTGGGCACGGGCCCGGATGGCAGAGCAGCGAGCAGCGGTGCGGGCACTTCGCGTCAGCGCGGCGCCGCTCGCAGGGTTGCCCGCAGCTTCCCGGCACCAACATCAGATCGATTTTTGGATCTTTTACCTTGCCACAATAGCAATGGTAGGCGGTGCAGCTAAGCACGTCGACGAGGGCCCGACACAGCGGGCAGTTAAACTTTTCGCTTGTACTGTGGTTATGGGAGTCAAAGGAACTCGGAAGTTTTTTTCCACGCTCTTTTAACTGCAAGGTGACCCACTTCTCGATGCATATTAGGTGGAAAACGCTGTAGCAACAGGGGCATGACCATATAGAGTCGTTCCGTTTAACCGTTTCGGAGCAAATCGTGCATTCGTACACGTCATTCAAGAGACTGCCAGCAATTTTCTGACCAAGTTCAGGTAGATCTACCATTTATTTAGATGAATGTGTTTTCCTTTCTTCTTTTAATATCCAATCTTAGGAAATACATGCGTATTAAAATTTTCAAGAAACAAACGAATTGTGAAATGATTTTCGAATTGAATCATTTGGAGAAAAAAAGAGGTAAGAATTGTTATATTCTTAATACAAAGGGCGGGTGGCCCATACGGTATGAGAAACACTATCGTGCTGCGTTTCCGTAAGACTAGATAAATGAATTATGTATATAATACGTGCATTCATCTGTCGATTGCATTTGTTCAGGTAAATTCATGAACACTTTTATCATTTGATTGCAGAAATCCTTGCTTAAACTTAACAGAAAAAGTTTCGAGCAACGAAGAATCGAATTGCTTGCAGTAGCAAGCCCTTTTCATTTAATCGATCTTCCTCGGTGAGACGCTCATATAGTGTTGGCTCTGCAGACGTCACCGGCGGCCTCGAGGTAGTGCACCCACCCCTACCTCTGCTTTGCTTCTCTTGTATTCGCGCCTGCAAGAACTTCTTGGCTGCTACAGGCGCGAGCATCCGACCAACTTGCTTAGTGGCTTCGATATCGACATGGGTACCAGGCTCCCCACTTTCCATCGGTTGGCAGAGCCCTAAGGATGTCGGCATTACCCGTGCCGTGACTTCAGGCGGTGGTAGGGCATCATACTCAAGGCCGCTTTTATAACCTTCCTTGCTGGTAATCAAATGGTCCCCATGAGACACTGAATTTTGAGAAATAGAGGTGTCAGACCGTACGGAACACTCATCATCAGCTGTAGCCGCACCAGCTTTCTCTCCCTCCAGTTTTTCTCCTATTGGGCGTTCTTCAGATCGTGAGCCACCCATGCTCCGTGGTTCCTTACCATGCCCTTTACCTATGGTGTTTGAATTATCAAGAGTCAATGCGGTATCAGCTTCAATCCTTGCTCGCTTTGGTTCCCCCCAGATCATCTGTCGATCGTAATGAGGGTCCCCTTTTGTAGGGCATTCGCTCAGCCAGTGGCTTCCCTTTACCCCACAGCGGTTGCAGACGTAGTACCGCGGCACCTGCCCGTTGCGCCGCTGCTGCTCAACCCGTCGTACAAGCTTTGGTTGGCGTTCCGGGAGGGGTCCCTGAACCGCGCAAGGGGCTTTTTTATCAGCATCAACACCCAAGACGCGTGAGGTATTACCGTCGAGTATCACTGTGGGTGCCTGCTGCTCTGTGGGGCCGATTCCGCCAGCTCGTCGTGATGACCTCGAGGAAGACTTGGAGCGATCAGAAGACGACCCCTTGTCGAATGAAGAAGCACGGCTGCGCGAGAAAGGGCTCGCGGATCGACTCGCGTCAGTGCTTTGGGTGGGGAGTGAGCCTCTGGCGCTAGAGGCGGGGCGGCAGGTGGGTGGGGTCGGCTCAGGTTCTTTCTCACCCGCAGAAAACCCCTCCGTTGCCACAGCCGTGGAATCGTGTTTATTGCCGTTGCCGCCTTCTACGTGGTCCAGCTGCGGCCGTTCCTTTTCTATGCCGCTGGGGAGCTTACCGTGGATAATATAGGTGTTCCCTGAGCGATGCCGCTTGTCAATGTGCACACCATGTTGCCGCATCCAGCGCCGGCGCTCATCTGGCAGGACTGCACCGCGGGAGGCTTTATAATATAACTCCTCTACCTTTTGCTTGACAGTATCTTGGGTGGGGTATCGGGCGCGTCGTTGGCCTAAATAGCGGCTGACATCGACAAGATCCGGTGCGTTGGGGCGGTTATGCAGCATGTTGACGTGCTCCTCCATTTTCCACCCACGGTCATTACGACAGGTGAAGCCACACCCTGGGACCTCGCAGTATATGTGGTTGCTCATATGCAGGTCGTATTTGTCCTGCTGTTTAAAGCCCTTCTGGCATGCATCGCAGTAGTGCAAGTAGTCCTCTTTCTCAAGTAAACGGCGCTTCACTTTCATGGAAGACTCACCCTTTCGAATTCTTTCTTGAGAGATCTCGGTCTTGTCGCTGAATGGTTGCCGACGATGTGAGGGCCAGGGGGCGTTGGCTTCTACGAGCTTGGTACTATCGGAAATAGTATTTTGAGGAGGGATTAACTTTGGGACGCACAAGGGATTCGCTGGCAACTTCCTCCATGATGGCAGTGGGTTGGTGACGTCTGGCTGGACGGGGAATGGCAAAAGCATACTGGGATCCATGGAATCTTTCTCCTGATGCGCGTATCCCTTCCTCTTAGAGTAAGTCTCGCTAGGCCGAGTAGTCCGAAGCCGTACGTCGGTGCCGGAGAATGGGGTAAAGAGAGGGGTGCATGGAAGAAATACCCGTAAGCAAAAATCGCGTGATTGCCTACTACACTGATCTAGACACGATTTTTCAACGTTAGTTGAGTGCATCACAAAAGGAGAGGGAATCTAGGTCCTATTACCTTCTCAAGACTCTTTAAATTAAACAAATAATACATAAGAAAGGAAATAGAATTCACATTTACATTCGTGCCTTCTAGTGGTTTCCCGATATGTAATGACATTGTCAAGAGCATTAGAAGATCAAGGTGGTATTATTTTTCAAAATCAAGTTCTTTCCTCTTCCGTTTTTTCCCTCGAGGGGATAATAAACAAAACGGCAACTTAATGGAAGCAAACGACCATTTAAACAGTTAACAATGAGCATGCATTCAACATTTATCAAATAAAAAAAATAAGGAACTTATTAAATCGGAAAGTTATATACTCCTTATACAGATATGAGCGATGACATTTTAACTTATATTCTTTTGAAAAAATAGGTTGTGTTACCAAAATTTCATCTCATTGTGATTAACACACATTGTATACATTTGTTCTTTATTACATACATAACCATTCATTATATTATTTCATGAGCACTATATTTTCAATAGATTTTTGCGTGATACCAACATATTTTACGGCTGGTATATCTGTTACAGCGCCTTTATTTACCTGAGCCACGAATCGCATGATTTCAAAAGGCTCAATAAAAATAACAAATGTCACGGCAGAAGCCTGGATATTAACGATCTCTAACGTATCCGATGGGGGCATCCTAAGATAATTCATACCACCCTGATGCGTAGAAAACGTACGAAAATAATTTTGTATTGCATTTAAAATTTCCGTATTTTGTTCAAGCAAGTTAAAGTTATCTGGGAAGCTCATATAGACTTCGTACTCTTCATTTCCCGCATAGCGCTTCTTGAGATCCTTCAAAGTGCCAATACAGTGCATACTGCCATGGTTAAGAAGGACGACTCTATCCGCGAGGGTCTCGATCTCGTCGAGAAGGTGCGTGGTAAGGATGACAGACCTCTGCCTGACTATTCTCTTTAGCGTCGACTGCGTTTGCAAACGACCGAGGATGTCCATATTGGCAGTGGGCTCATCCAGTAAAACACTCTTGGTACGACCAACCATAGAGATAGCAAGGGAAAGGCGGCGTTGATTGCCACCACTGAGAGCATGGGCCGTGGTATGACGATGAGGGTACAAGCCAAGCTCTTGGATGAGTGAGCTCACCTCGTCTTCGATACACTCCTCGCGAATATTACGCAGACGGGCATACAACCATAAGTGCTCTACCGGGCTGAGATTGTCCAGTAATGGGTTATACTGAGGGCAGTAGCCAATGTAACTGCGAGAGACTCGCTGATCACTCGAGATGCCATTTATGTATGCCGAGCCACAGGAGGGAACTTCCTCTCCAGCGAGGATCTTTAGCGTGGTAGACTTACCTGTTCCATTGGGGCCAAGCAGGCACATTATCTCACCTTTGTGCACCCCAAAGCTCAAATCATTTACAGCATTCCGCCGCATGCCGGGAAAACGTTTCGACAGATGTTGAACGACTATGGAGTCCTTCTCTGGATCGATCATTTCCTGGCGCACACGCTCGATCTCAGTTGTAACCGATGCATCGACTTCATACGGCTCGATTTCATCTGCTCCTGGAGCGTCGTTGTCACTCAAGGTAGGAATTCGACATTTGAGGCGTTTAATGCGGGTGTATTCAACAATAGTGAACACGATGATGGAGGCAATCGTGATTCCAGCCATATAAACAAGATCAGTGCCAATTCCTCCCCAATCGGATAATCTGGGATTAATATGTGTCCAACCAAACATGTTTACCGTTGCATTTGCCGGGCGAAGCGCAGCAACCATTTTTTGGGTGGAAATAATTTTCATGCTCTCAGAAAAAGACGCAGTCGGGAAGATACGCATGACGCAAGCCAAGATCCGCACTAGATCAGTCCAATATCTCGATAATAAAGTCTCCAAAGTCGTCCAGAGGAATCCAGTCGTAAAATTCACTAACAGTACCGACATTTGCGCGGCTTGCGGCGTTTTAAAGAAGGATGCAAGCAAGTAGCTCGTCAGTATGGAGGATGTCCCGTAAAGCAAGAAGACGGAAAGGGAGGGGAACAGCATGTCTGAGCCGACGTACTCATTTTTTTTGAAGATAACAAATACAACAAATGTCAAACCTGTCGTTATGATATAGCAAGCCATATCGAAGCAAAAGGAGCTGAGCCAAAGGGCAACGGCATTGGCACCGGAAAGACATTGGATGTGATGCGCGCCCGTTTCCCTTTCGCGCACAATGTAGCCAATGATGTAGACGGGGATTAGCAGGAAGGGTAATGTAATGAAGGCACCGGAAACGATCGCTTTATAAGAGTTTGCCACTTTCTGCTGAAGATGCCCTAATGGCATTGGGGCGTTGCGCGCGACGATCTTCGGTGCAAGATCACCAAAAAGCCGTTCTGTCTCTAAATTATAGAGCGAATTGATAGCCTGTGGTACAGTATGATGGTAGGAGTTGTTAAACATAATCGCCGCATAAGTACGTCCATTATCTTGATCGATTATATTAGGTGCAAGTGCGATCATGCGGGGTAGACTGTGGTTCTTTTCTTCACGTGACAGAATTTCCGTGAAGAGCTGGATGGTATTTAAATTTGGCAGAGAGCTACTAACAAATTTACTAACGTAGTGTTCGCCGAGTGCACTATTATTCACGCTGTCACTCAAACCAAAGGTATTTGGTGAGTTCGCGCTGTTAAAACCAAAAAGCACCTGCGACGGGGTGGTGGCATGATTAGAATACATCGTCATATCAAGCAGAATGCTCGGCTGGGACGGGCCAGGTACCAAGTCGATTAGTAGAGAAAGTAGAATAAAAGCCAAAGGGAGTATGATTTGGATGATCAGTAGCTTGATGTCGCGCTTCGAGAAGTTCAGACGCTTAATAAAAAGTGCGCGAAAGTGGCGAGAGAAAACAGAAAACGCATTCATGCTGTGAAACTTGTAGCACTTTTCCTCTTGGAGTTCCCGCGGGTCGACGGATTTCGGTTCGCCGATGAGTGGGTTGAGGCTTTCCTGGAATTGCTCTGCGACGAGGAAAAGAAAGACATCCTTCATCGTCGGGGGATTCAGGCTAACCTGACGGAGTTTCAGCATATCCTTGCTATTCTGCAGCTTCTCGAAAAGCTCACAGCCTGTGGAAAGGAGGCAATCATACGGTAAATTCAGGCACATTTCACACCCATGTCGTTCGATCCTGAACGCTTGACAGGATTGAGGTTGGATTTCCAATGTGCGACTCCCGAACTCACGATCAATAGGGTAGCCATTATTACGCACAAAGTCGATGATGGTATTGACGGCATACTCTTCCTCTTGTATACTCAAGCCGTTTTCAAGTACGCAGCTAATTTTATAGTTGTCCTTCACGCACGACTTTAGAAACATAGGACTACCATTTCCGCTGACCTTGCCCGAGTTCATGATAAGGATACGATCTGCAAGGCGATCTGCCTCTTCCAAGATATGAGTCGAGATAAAGACACTGCAGTTCTTGCGGTTAAGTTGGATCGCGTCGTAGACGAATTTGCGGGTCTCAAAGTCCATACCGGCGGTGGGCTCATCCAGAAGCAACACCTCAGAGTCCGCCACCATGGCGATTGCGAAGCATAGACGGCGGCGTTGGCCACCAGAGAGGGTTCCTGCCAGGGAATGACGCTTTTCCTCCAATTTAATCATTTCGAGTGCCTTGTCAACATAATGCTGAACGTTGAAGGAGTGCACCTTGACGCGGGCATAGAAGGACAAGTGCTCCTCTACGGTGAGCGACATCCACAGGATGTCGGACTGCGAACAGTAGCCGATGTGCTGGAGACTCCTTACGTCTCCATAGGTAGAACTGCGCCCCTTAATGTACACGTCACCCGAGGTAGGCCGAATCGTACCGGTAGCCAATTTCATGAGCGTGGACTTCCCGGCGCCGTTGGGGCCAAGAAGAACGCTGACTTCGCCGCGTTTCAAGGCGAAGCTGACTCCATCTAGTGCGACACATCGGTCGCCCAAGCGAAACACACTGGTGAAGATCCGGTAGATGAGGCCCCATAAGCCACCACTGATATATACCTTCCGCAAATCTTTGAAGGCCACAACCGTTTCAGGATCGTTTGGATCCACAACTTCATTAGGGTTCTCGATTAAAGGAATTCTTTGCATATTCTCCTTAAAATTCTCTTGAGGATGATCTGGACCATCACTGGTAGATGGCTTTTCCATGTGCTGGGAGTACAAACTCCCTTTCTTACGGAAGGATCGAAAGATAAAGTCAAGGAAGAAGAGGGGGTGCTCATGCCGACCAATCGTCATGGGCCATACACGATCGAGGTACAGTGCTAGCACGATCATGATCGCTGAAGAGGCCCACATGACGCCTATGCCCTTGATCACATAGAGATTATCTTGGTCCATATCGGACCAGGTAAAACCCTCCCTGATCTGAATATAATTCAGAATGTAGAATAAAGACTGGGCTACGCCTGTGCAGGGGAGAAAAGATAGCATAGTTTGGGTGAAAGCAGAAACTCCCTCAGGAATGGCATAGGCAACAGAAGAAAGTAGAAAGACCAGGAGACCACCACACCAGGAGGCGAGGGAGGGATTGAAAAAAATCGTGCTCAGGAGAAGACATAGTGCACTGTTCTGATGCAGGTAGCTGAAGTAAAGGATGAGCAACACAGCAAAGTTCACGGTTTTAAGAAAGCTGATTTTCATTAAGAGAGTGGCAAGCATTGCAGCGATGATGTTGATGAGCAAGGAACTGATAAACCAACTTGCTATAATGCAGAGTGGATGTATCCCCATTATCAACATAGACTCACGAATTCCACGTGATTTTTCTTCAACAATGGTTGACGTAAAGCGTGCAACCAGAAAGATTCCACTCAGTACAATAACCATGGGGATAAAGTATACCCAGTTATTCATGAAAGCGTTGATCTCTCTAGAATGGCTAGGCATAGGAATCTGATATATCCCATACGAGTTTATGAAGCAACTCGTGCCGTCCGTCCTATTATTACACCTGTACTTGACATCATACGGAGATCGGATTCCCTTGGCAACGTTGCGCTGGATATAGTATTCTTGCACAAAACTCTGCAATGTTGAGAATCCGCTAGCCAAGTAAAGTATATCTGTGCTGTAATCGATTCCGGTTTGTTCACCAACTGTCGGTTTTCCATCCGCTACATACGTCGTAGGGGTGGCTGTAAAGTTCATGCTGATGGTGAATTCGGCCTTCGGAACCTTCGAAATGGTGTTATTGGGAAGATGAACAATCGCCCATACTTCCCCGCTATGCACCACCGCGTAGTCTTGTGCTGACTCTAAGCTTGGAAAGATAGTCGGGTGGAGCACCAATTCACACATGCCACTCCTGTATGCACAGAATCTCATAAACTCTTGAGCGAGGGAAGGATTATCGCTCGACACAAGCAACTTCCCATAATGCGAATAGCTGGTCCAGGTGTTATGTCCAAGAAAGTTCGATCCTTGGTTCCCTGATAGTTGCGTAACAATAGCAGATTCAATTAGATAGGCATCCATTGATGGTATTGCCTGTGCACCTTTGATATTGTAAAGCATAAATTTGAGATCATTAAGTCGCTTAGATAAGGCTGATGGGTAACAGAGATCCTCGCCATTACCTATAAGGCTGAAACAGCTTAACTCTGAGGGAGGTGCAATGCACCGATGATAGTTGAGCCTTGCCTTCGAATTCTGGTTAAGGCAAAGGATGTCTTTAAAGTAAACGGTGGTGTTAAAAATTGGTGTGTGCGAATAATCAGGTTGACTGACTTTGACAATTGGACTCTCCCAGTAGCAAAATGATAGCACTAGGATGAATAGCGATGGAAACAACACCTCAAAGGCGGTTAAAATGGGTGATCGCAACTTGCGAAGGAAAATCTTTATGAAGAGGGCGTAAAGTTGCACCAAATATTTACTCATTTCTATTCGCTATACTTTTTTATGTGATTGTTTTATGTAATACCAAATCGATTCTACAAGCAACACCAAGCACTACAAGATTAATATCCTCTCTAAGGAAAACACTTTAGATCCCCAAAAGTTGCTTTCTGTCACGGGGATATCTACTCAAATAAGAAAACGTATTTATATACTGAAAAGAGGTGTACCTCTTTTGTATTTATGCAAAACTCAAATCTACCCAGAGTGAAACAAAAATTCCCTACTTAAATTTTAAAGTACCAACTATTCCTCTGCAAGATGTCGCTAGAGGATGATATGCGTAAACTTTTAAAATGTGTTTGCGCGTTAAGAATAAATGAATCTGTGTTAAATTAATTCGAAAAAAATCGGTTAGTATTGAAGTCTAAATATGCCAGACTTTGCTCCTAGGAAGATTGCGAAAGCCAATTCAGACAAAAAAAACAATAAAGAAGCTTATTTTTACATAGAAATCTTATTGAAATTAACTAAAAGACGCATGTCGATGAGTATGGATGAAATGATAATACGAAAAGGGGGAAAAGTTCCAATAAAGTCATTTAGAATGAGAGACAAGCTAAGTTACGCTGATATGAGAAATAAATGTGTTTCTTTGCTATTAAACCGAATTGTCTCTTCATTTTGTATTAGCAAATTTCACCTTAGCGGCGACCATTCCCTATTATACAAGGAACAAGAGTTACAGAAATTTCAAAATCGAGTTGACCTAGTGCAAAATGATCCCTCCGTTCCCTAGATGGGGAGGGTGAGGAGGTGATCTTTTTTTAAAGGTACTCCATGCCACAACACCTAGTGCAAACATGCCGATGCCGACAGTTCACTTAACCCAAAACATGTTTGTGGATGATTGCTTGCCTTTCGTTCTTCTTTTCAAATCTCGATTCGGCTTCATCTTGCTATTATTTCCTGATTTTTAGCAAAACATACATGATAAGGAAAAACACGACAACGAATAGAAACAGTACCCAGATGTGAGAAAAGCTCGACCAGCCTATCTTACTCAGACTTTTGATAGTTCTACCTAGTGAAATCTTCGCATCACCAAAGGTCTTTCCCATCGTATCGAGTATGGAGTTTTGTCGTTGAACCTCACCACCTATCTTCATGAGGGTTGATTTTGTCCGCTTCACATCAGCGAGCAAGGCCTTAACGAGTTCATCGTTTTCCTGTTCGTAGCTTTGGGTTGTTCTTGCGGTCGCATTCCGTCGATGTATCTGGTGTTCTTCTTCCTTTTCAGAAGTAGTTTGAGCAGCACTCATTCGATCCCCTCCAACAGCGGCGTCTCGACGTCGATAGAGAGAGCTCTGTGGATGCATGAGCTCAGTCTACTACTAAAAGGTATACGATCACAATTGATAGATACGCCGCTCCACCTTAGTCACCCGTGCTTTTTTTTTGTTTCCTTTTCTAGAAAGATAGCCCTTCTACAAATAGGAAAAAAAACCTACTGCACAGATTATTGGAGCAATGTAGTAGGACTAAGAAAATGTGTAAGTTTTTATCGAATTGCTTTTAAATAATCATGAATCATATTTGTGATACGCATTTTATCTTCACCTTTTCTGTTTAATCATTTTTTCTCCTATGTAAAGAGAATCTTCAGTAAAGTGAATCTAACGTCTTGCACACATCACCAACAAATAGTCCTCAATGATTTCTGAACAGAGCAATGCTTCATACTTTTTTCATACCTCCCTTCCGCTCCCTTTTCTATAAGAATCAACCTGTGTGAGAGAAAAGTGAAGACCTGAAACGCCCCAAGGCAACTGTATTGCATCGGCACCATTTTTAGATATCTGAACGAAGTCTAGTTAGTTCGAAAAAGACCTGTTTTGAGGGCATTCCTTAATATGATTCCGCATTCGTGGAATATTTTCTAGCGCTTTACCACACCATAAACACCTCATATCTTGTTCTTCCATCCGCCGCAACGCGGCAACATCCTTATTCAGCGTGAATTCACCATTCTGCTCCAGGTCCGAGATAACTTGATCGCTTGTCAGAAAAAATGGGGTCGCGAAGCTGTTGTAGTGCTTTTTAGTTTTTAAGCATGGGCTGTCTAAATCCATAGAGAGAAGATGCATGTGCAGCATTGGTAGGGAGGGCAACGCGTGGAAACCCATGATATAGCGCCGCCCTCCAAACTTTGAGGGTTCATTAGTGCGCAGGTACTGCACATACTCAACCGCAGCCCGCTCCATGTGCTTGAGTAAACTGACATGCTCTATGCTTAATACATTCAACGATGTGAGCCTTAGGTCTAGTGGCATGACTAGACAGTGCATCATTGACTTGGGAAAGGCGTCGTTCACAATGAGGCAATGGTGATTCTTGTAGAGAACTGTACAGCCGGCTGTCTGTTTGGTTGCGTGTGAAGAAAGAAGCGGATACGGCCGGAAGGGCGTTGAGGAAGATGTGGTGGTAGGCATCGATGCAGCTTTCTTTACGATATTTTGCAGGAATGGAAGCTTCGTTCGCGGAGCGGGTCGCGACATCGTTGAAGCTTAGCGCTAATTAACCCTGCTCAACTTCGGTACTGTTTATATCAGCTATGGAGAAAAAATATGTGAGCTCGCGCTTATGTTGGAGCCAAGCAGAAAGACAGCGTCTGTGTAGATTTCTCTATCCTTTTTTTCATCTTTGATCGTTTCAATTTAGTGTTGAAAAGAAAAAGAGTAGAGCATAAGCCTCAAAGCAGCTTGGACTACTCTAAGCGAGACCAACGACATACAAGCAAACCTGAGTTTCTTCTTAGATCTCAGAGAGGTTAATAATGAAAAGAATAAAGGCAATGTTTTGATGACATCGATTGCATTCCACATCTAATACGACCCCCGAAGGGGTCCACCCCGGCGGTCTAGGATCCTGCTCAGCAGAACATCCACAAGAGGATCCACATCGTCAGGCCCGCCGTGGTCGCGCTGATCACGAGAGTTACGACCCACCCACCGACGATCTTCGCCACGAGCACCCACGAGACTCCCGCCAGCCGCGCGTCCAGCACGCCGCAACCGATCGCCGCCCCCACCTGCGACTGCGAGAGCGAAATAGGGATGCCAACGGCGGTCAGCACCATCGTCACGGCGGTACTGCCCATCTGGATGCACCACCCCCGAGCGGGCGTCACCGTCACCAGCTCCATCCCCACCGTCCGCATCAAACTCGCGCCGAGGCCGAACATCCCGATCGCGATTCCCATCATTGCGGGCAGCACCGCCCACCGCGAGCTCATCCCGGCCATCCCCAGCTCGTGATTGGTGAAGGCCTCGTAGAGGATGGTGAACGCCGCCGTGGCGTTCGCACCCGCGACGGCGCCGTGCACGAAACTTGACATACTCCCCGCAACCACCTGGAGGCCCGTGAAGAGGTACTCCGCGCGCGGGTTGAAGGGCTTGATGAGGAGTCCACGGAAGTTGATCGGCTTCATCGGGTGGTCCATGCGCCAGTCCTCCTCGTTGAACTCGTCGTCGGGGAGGATTTTGTCATCCGTGGGCGGCAGGGACAGTTTTGAGACGATATCATTGGGGATGGTGCCGTAGTCGGACTTTGAGGCGCCCTTGGCGTTAGGTCCACGTAGAGGGGCGCTGGTGCTCTCTTGTGGGAGTTCCAGATCCATGTGGATAGGCAACACTTCCACAGGTGCGGCGAGATCCTCGTGGGGAGTGGGGCCGGATTTCGGTGAGATGAGGGGGCTACGATGGGCCTTCGGGGTCGGGCAGGCCGACCGCCTCAACGTAATGTGGCTGTCCGCCGGCGTAATAGGGTTTAGAACGAATGAGCAGTTGCAGGTGCGGACTCCATCTGATGAGTGCCCCAAACACGAATCCATGCACTTTCCTGGAGACTTTCTCAGAGACCGCTTCTCCGACGCAGACCTCCCTATCGGTGCCTTGCGATCTTGGAATAAGGAATCAACGCCGCCTTGTATATCTCCATCATCGATGTAAGGGACTCCAGTATTGGAGAGTTGCAACTCAACACATTCCGCCGACTTTCCATGACTTTCCCAAACGAAGCTTAAGGCCGCCTGAGAGGCTTCCACAACCTTCGGAAAGTACCACAACGAACAAGCGATACAGTAAACAAAAATAAGTACTAGTATAATAATGAATTGAAGGGTAACTGGCACATATGCTGAAAGCGTTTGCGTTATAATAGGCGGACGCTCAATTAAAATGAACATGAAATCTACAAGTAGACAGAGAACAAGGCAATAGGGCATTGACCATTTAGCAAGCTCGAAGGAACGGCCCTTGACATTGAGAATTTCACGTCGCATTACGTAGAAGATACCCGCCGTAACCAAGCCGGCCCCAACCGGGGCCAACACCCACGACGCGACGATGACCAGAATCCCCCTTGTTTTTACATATTGGAAGCTCCCGTTGGAAAAGACGGCGAAGCCTAACAAGGAACCAACAACAGTATGTGTGATAGAAACGGGCAGCCCAAACACAGTTGAGAGATACAGCCAGAGAGCCGCGGCAAAGCAGGAGGCCGTCATGCCGATCACAACGACATCACGGTTTATGGTGAACAGGATGGGGTCGACGATGCCGTCGCGAATGGTGCTGCTCACGTGGCCCCCCATAAAAGCGGCACCAAGCAACTCGAAGACAGTGCAGTACATGATAGCTTGCTTCATGTTAAGTGAGCCACTACCCACAACCATGGCGAAGTTAGCACTGAGATCATTCGCGCCGATACCCACACCACAGAGGAAACTGAAGAGCGAACACAAGCAAACGAATGGAAGGGTCGTGCCGACATCCACATTACATGTTAAAGCACTCATCCTTTCTGCGGGGTATTATTATTTGCCTAAATATCACGGGATAGTCAACAAAGAACTCTTATAAAAATATCTCAAGCGAAGGAGATAAAAGAAATCCTATTATGGAAAACTGCGAAAGATGCTTAGATGAAAAATTGCAATAAAAAAATTTTACGGTAAAAAAAATGAATACGCCTAAAACTACACTTAAGTTAATCACCTTCCAAAGGGGAAAGGATGGAGAAAAAATAAGATATGTCAATCAATGGACCTGAAAAAAGGTTCCCGCCATGTAGGGAGAAGGAAGATGAAAAGTTGCGTCATACTTCGTTGTATATAGTTAATAATTTTCACTATAATACATATCGGATAATGATCTAACAATTCAGAGTGGATATAAGAGAAAGTAGTAATAATGACAATTTTTGAGATCGACTTCTCTGCAATCATGTTTGACATATTACAAAGGTTAATATCTGAGCGATCAATCTAGGAAGAAATTTTTTTGCATACCAAGCGAAGAACATTGGGAAAGACATCTCTTCCCCTCTCCCTTAATAAAAAAGCGCAGCGGCACATTAACTCATTTCTTTCCATTGTGCTTATTGATCTTCCTCCTCGTCCTCGTTGTCTGTATACATGACGCCGTTAGAGGTTGGCAAGGGTGTGTACTCCTGCTCCTCCTGTGGGGTGCAGTCCCGCTGTAGGACCAGGCCTTCCTCGGGGAACTCCACCATGCGACGGGGTGGGAGTTTTGGGGCGTAATCGACCGCCTGTAAATCTTTGAGTCCGTTGCCTACGTATAGGGACTGGTACACCGCGCCCGGTTTCCCTGTGGTCATGGCGTAGCACACAGCCCCAGGCCAGCGCATGGAACGGGCGAGGTATAACTTGGTATCGTCGCTTTCGTTGTGATAGCCCTGAGAGAAGGTCCAGGAGGCGAGCTGGCTGCGGCTGTGCCCCGGCAGCGTCATCGGCTCATCCTTGCTGAGGTCGGAAAGGAAGGGACGGATGGACTCGACCTCCTGATGGGAAGCCTCGACAGCGTCGCCGAAGTTGTCTTCCGCTTCGTGAGACTGCTGCGGGGGGATCGTGGCACGCCCGCATTTTAGCAAGGTTGGGGCAATGTGGACCCAGTGCTTGCCCTGGAGGAGCTCCCCGTACCTGAACCCTTCGTACCAGGCGCGAACGGCTTGGATCTCGTCAGTGTCATCCTCATCGGGAGCTTTCTGTGGGATCAGCGGTGGGACCTCCGCGTACGCTGGCACCATCTCAGGCGGCGGCAGGGGATTGCCGTCTTCATCTTCATCCATGTCGGGCACGGCCCCTTGAGTGGTGAACATATCTCTCGGGGCGATACGGCAGGCACACGTGATGCGGGCGATTTGAGCGCGCAGGTAGTGCTTTTCAAGCCCTAAGAAGCGAGGGTGGCTGCGCACAGGGGCCTCCAAGTTCCCTGTGAATTCCCTACAAATGAGCCGCGCCACAGTAATGTGCTGTGGCTCGACGTCCGGCAGGCGACTCCACACCATCGGGTCCGCCGTGCTTGCGGCGTAGTAGACATACTTGTTAAGGTCAGTTCCGCTCTTTTCCTTTGGTGTGGCGTGGTGTCGCTTTAGAATGTGTACGGAGAACACGTCGTTCACATGCTCTATAGGCAAATCTTCGCCATCGCCGTCGTTATCCATGTCCTCGTCGTCTTCGCCGTCGAGGGTTACGTAGGCCGGGTCCAGCTCGGTCTCCGCGATGTAGTAGTCACTTTTCCTGCCCAGTATTTTGCCCCAGAGCCGCACACTGGACAACGGCTCGGACTTCATGAGCTTCTTGAGACCGATCATGACGTGGTAGGCCGCCTCGGGGGGAATGCCAGTGCCGAGCGCGTTAAAGACGCGCTGCTCCGTGACCACGTCGCTCAGCGTGCCAGACCCGGCGCTCTCGTCGATATCCACCTCCGGGGCGTACCTGCCGTCATCCATAGCCTGTTCCGAGTTGCCCTCCTCGTCGTTCTCGCCGTCGAACACGCGTCGCGGTGGCTTAGGCGGGGCCAGAGCCTGTGTGAAGTGTGCAGCCCAACAGGTGTTGCTGAGGATATCCTTTGGAACGTCGGCCTTCGACATGGTGTGCTCTGCCACATATACCCCGGTATGTTTTTTAGGCGGGACTGTGCTGCCGGTGAGGACGTAGTTTGAGATCGGGTTCAGTACCTCAAGCGGGTCTGAGGGGCGTTCCGAAACTACCCGGGTGAGAATCTTGGTCATGTGGTTCCACAGGGGGGATTGCCGAATATCGTCTTCAGTCATTGCGGGCATTTTCTCTTTTTATTGTATTTATTAAAAGACACTTGTATAAATACTAGGGACGGCCCTATACAAACAGGGAAAGTAAGGACAGCTAAGAACACTAAAAGGATATCCAGAAAATGCGATAGAGTACCTTTTTTTTGCATGCGCATATACACACATATAGGTTTGCAAAGTTTTTGCTGAAAGTTTACTTTTCCGATACCCATACCCACGCATGAAAAGCACCCTCGAAGGGGGTGAAATATGTGTGTAAGTATTAAATCATATAGATTTACAGAGCTTTGTTTCAGTTTCCTATCGGATAAAGGAGCAACGCAGAAGTAAAGAGTATAAATCACTGAAAAAGAAAAGGCTCAATGCGATAACATACTCCTTCATTTCTGTGTGCCCGTTCGCTAACTTCCTACTTGACATCATCCCTAAAAATATCAAACTCGCGCTTAGGATGCAGGGGCTTTTCCAAATCCCGTAGCGGGGATTTCCATCCCTTATTAAGATCCATTACAGGACCAGCGCAGGACGTTAGGGCGCCTAAGGTTGGGTTCACTTTCATTTCGTACTGCATTTCTGACTCGTACCCCATCAACACATGCATAAAGTAATCATGTCCAAGCGTAATATATAAAGACGCCAGCGTCACAATGCCCAAACCAAAAACGCGCAACGGTGACCATAGAAAAGCCTGGCGACCGAGTCGGCGGCTGTCGGCCTTAGAATCGTTGAACCGGACTTGCATGATCCCACGCCAGCTTCGTGTGCGCCTTATAATGGGGCGAGGCACCACCCTATTCCTGCGCCCACCTAGCATCTAGACTTTGCTAACAACACCTATCTAATAAACGTAGTATGGGGTTGTTGTTTTTATTCGCCTTTCTTTCTTTGTCCCCCAGTTGCAAGGCGGGGGGAAGGGGAAAGGAATGGTGGCAGAAAAAAGGCAAGACTAAAAAAGAAGAGTAGGATTCAAAACAAGATGCTTTTCTCATAATTAACCAGTCCATATCATAAATTATGCTGCATGCTAACGCAAATGCGTCCTTGTTAGGCATGTTTCCATCTTTCGTTTCCTCTCAGATATACGCATGGTCATGAGCATGCAGCATCCCTTCACTTTTTACACGAAGCTTATATTTATTAACGTTTAGAAAAAGGGTTATGCATCTGCGTTCCGGACTGTAATTCTACCTTTTAGTTGTCTCGCGGAATCTGTTTTATTACCATTATTAGTCATCCTACTTGTGCGGCGTCTTTGGTTTGCCCATCCGTTTTGTTTTCGTCTTCCCATCAGCCTGAGTAGCCTTCTTTCCCGAGCGATGCGTCACAGGAGCTTTCTTCCTAGCAGCCACTGCGGATCGCTTCTTAAGATTTCCCTTCTTGCCTTTCGAGTTCGTCGTGTGTTGTTGCCCTTCCTCGTCATCAACATCAAAGAAGCGCTCTTCCTCATCATCACTTTCCTCCTCTTCAGAGGAGCCTTTGTGATTTGCAAACACGTCACAGCCCACGATCAAATCTGTATCGCCATGAACGCTTCCCTTTGCACGTTCTGTCTTCTTCCGTTGCCGTTGCCGTTCAAGGTCCTCAACCTCATTATCGAGAGTTCGCTTCACGCGTTTCGATTTGGTCGTTTTTCCCCCAGCAGAGGTGTCCTCGGTTGCACACGCGTCATCGCTCTCTTCGAATGATGTGCCCTTGAAGTAACTCTTTTTATCCTTAATACCGAAGCGAGCAGCGAGGTAAGCGTCCTCGTCGTCCTCCTCCGCCACCTCTTCGGGAGGGAGCTCAGAGGCCAGCGGTGCACTACGATCGTCCCCACGGTCCACGCGCAGCACACAACCGCGTAACCGCGATCCGTGGAGCTTTTCCTGTGCATATGATGCGTAGGCCGGCAGGGCGAAAACAATCTTGGCGATGCCGGTGCTCAAGTGCGTCTCAGGGTGAACGAGTATCTCACACGAAAGCATTTTGCCGCAGCTTTCAAAGTGTTCGCGAAGCTGCTGCGTTGTGATGTGCTCGCCGAGGTTCCCGACATACACCTCGGGGGAGCCCTTCACCAGCATATCGTATTTGCTGTTTTTCCCCTTCGAATTACTCCTTGAATCGCCATTCGTCTCACAAAAAGGAATAGAGGCCTTAGCGCTGGGTTTTACGACATCCTTGGAATTCTTAGTCCCCGGCAGAAGGGATACATCGGCGCCAAGCGGAATGATATAGTCCTCGTCACCGTTGACTCCATCACCCTGTTTCATTGTTGGCGTTCCATCCATGCTTGTTAACGGCGTCGCCTTTGGACCGCCTCGGGAGTAGGGAAGTGATCCTGGTGGAGCAGCTCGCATCGCCGAGATCCTGCGCCCCAGCAGATGGAATCGATCAAGAAAGGTTATCGCTGCCTCCACATCGTCCTCCGATTCGAAAGTCAAAAAAGCCTTTCGATTACGCGATGTCATCTTAACCGACTGCAGACGTTGCTCCAACTGTGGGGCGATGTCGCGAAGGACTTCCCGAATCACCTCGGGTTGCGACACCTTTGCCAAATCTGTTAGTAACACCTGACGACGGAAGCTGTCCTTTTCTTCAGCAGTAGCTCCACCCCCAGCGTTGAGTTTTTCCAGGTCCCGTGGTTTAGGTATCTCAACCCGGAGCGCGCGGCCGAGGAATTTGCGTCCATTCAGCACCTTTACTGCTGTGGGAACACTATTTGGCGACTTAAAGACCACAAACCCAAACCCTTGCCCCGGCTTCTTTATCAACCTCAACGGCTTCCCAACCTTCCAGGCCGTCAAGAACTGAAAGAGTTCATCCTCCAAAGTAGATGCACCGGGCCCCGCGGTGTACTGGTAGGGGAGCCCGTCTATGAACATTTTGTTGTTGAGCTTCTTAGGGAGCTCAGTGCCGTCTTCCGTGATCGTTGTGATCATTTTTGAAGCGCTGGGTACTTCCGACGACGGAATCTGCTGGTGCTCATTCGTGGAACGTGATGGGGGCTTGGAAGAAGGGAGAGATATATTAGGCGCACGGAAAGGTTGTCTGTGGGCGGTGTTCCTAACCGAAGTATTTCCTTTCACCAACCCCTTAGAAGATGAGCCGGAACGCGCAGAGGTCGCCATCGTGGCCTCGTTATTGTAGCGAGCAACATTGACAGCCTGTCGTGCACTCTTTGGGGCTGGTGCCGCATCGTCATCATCAGAATCCTCGGCCCTACGCAATGATTCTACGTGTTGAGCAGGTTCTTGGTGCGACGCGCGACGCACCACTGGGAAGGCAGGCACTGACGACTTTTTGACATTGCTGGTGACAGCTGCACGATCCAAAGTTCGTTGAAATCCGCCACGAGCACCTCGCATGAGTCCCCTTCCGCCAGCTCTACCACCTCTTGAAGGCAATGCCATACAATTATTATTTTATAGGAGAAAAAAGGATTACCACTAGCACTGACTATCCCCTTGACAACCATTGACATATAATCAATAATTGCATTTGTAAGGGGGGAAAAAGAAGAATAGGAATGAGAAAATAAGTACTCTTAATCCTATAAGCAAGTATATTTATCTTTATGACATCGTTCACATTTGAATCATTATTATTATTATGCTACAAGGCATGTGGCTCGCGATATCTATATCTCTCTCTCTCTCTATATATATGTATACCTACCTACCTGAATTCAAGCACCACAATAACTAATTAACAGAATTATGTGATGTTGGCCCGTACACATAACATTCCTATACGAGCCCTGTCGGACTGAAAGTTACCTTGATGATTAGCAGAGCAACTACTACCTAATAACTTTGATAATTTTCTCAGATAATTGCGCTAGGCAATACAATAAAAATAAACAACATGCTAAATGGGTGGGGGGACTGATCCAAGCTATAAGAGTCAGTCAATTCTAATTCCCTAAATCATTTTTACCCCCTTTGAATTGCTTTACATGTTGTATATATATATATATATATATATATTCCTGTTTTTTTCTCTCCCTTATGTCTACCAAAGCCCGGCTTCATGCCAAGCTCGAACACTCGAGACATCAACGTGGAGTGGGCTGGTGGTATCCTGGTGAGCCCAAGGCTCGTCGGCGATGGTGTCTAGCATCAGCTTCGTGACGTGCTCAACGACCCACCTCGAGACGCGCTTTTCGTAACGTGAGGCGAGGGGGGCGCTCTCGAGGGCATCTCCCAGCCGCTCCGCAATCCGCCAAAAGAGTGGATACGAGATGTAGTTCACCTGCATCTGCTCCCGCACAAACGGCACCGCCAGGGCGGTCACTGCTGCATTGTCGTGGGCTACCGCAAACGCCTTGAGATAAAACTCCTCCCAGGACTTCTTGAAGTCGGGCGTACATGGCTTAGTAAGTGAGGGGAAGTCCTTCAACAAGCGTGTCCACCATAGGTACTCGAGGGATTCCGTTCCACTCGACGCCTGTAACTCCCGCATCAGCGCGGCGACGGCATGACCTTCTTTTTCCCGTAGGGAGCTGTCAACCTTGTGTTTAGCAATACCACGCAAGGGCTGGTAGTGCTCCTTTTCGAGCTGGCTGAACCCAGTAACGCTAAAAATGTTCGTGCTATCGTATGCGATGCCTTTGTGGTTACCGGTAAGGGTAGCTGCCTCGGCAGTGGACTTGTTGATCGCCTTGTGGGTATTGTCTAGGCGAGGCAGCATGTCACCCTGGGCGTAGTGCTGCGTACGCCCGGTCACTCCAAAGGCCCAGTATTCTAAGAAACGCCTTTGAGTGAACAGTGTGTATGGTCGAACATGGGCGATGACCTTCCCACGCGTGGCGTTGTTAGCCACTACTAAGCTAAACATGTGGAGCGAGTACAAGAATACTAAGATGACTAAAGGAATGGGGAAGGGTGTGCTAATGTTAGGGGATCGATACCCAGTTTTTTTTGTATTAATTAGTAAGGTGAAAAGTATCAATAACTAAGGAGAAGAGAAAAAGCTTAGAACGGATTAAATCTTACTCGTATAAGCTCCTACAGACTGCGTGAGGGCGTGTGTACTGACGAACTTACATTCCACAATTTCGTATTTCATGCAACCAACTAACGCGGAAAGACACGAGTACTGAACATAGTTTTCCTCCATCAATGTGGGAGTATTTCTTTGGCTTTCTGATTTATTTTCCTGCATTTGAGTGTGTGTGTGTGTGTGGCATGCTACACATAAGCAAATTTACATCACTACCACAAAAGATTGAGATTGTATGAGACTAAAGGTTTACTTCCTTCGTACTGTGTTCTTGGTTCGAACCGTGGCGCTTTCAGCCAACCGCTCTTCCATACAAGCCTCAATTTTCTCCACGCGTTTTTCCACTTCACTGAGGACGAAGGGAGATGAATCATGACTGTCTTTATCGGTCTCCCGTCTCGGGAGAGGCGGGAGGACTACCGTCGATATTGTGCTTCCTCGAAGTGTTTTTTGTTGTCGAAGGCTAGGTCTACCAGCATGCGATAATCTACCTACTAGTGGTGGCGTTCCATGACTCGTTGCTGAGGGAGCAGCAGCATTGTCTGCAACTGCAGCTGCAGCTACAGCGGGAGAGTCACACCTACCTGATATCGTTTGAGTGCTGGCACTGGGAAGAAAGGGCTCAACTCCTAATGAGTTCTGTAGTCGAAGGTTAAACGCCCGTTCCACACGTTCGTATTCTTTTTGACTAAGCGCATCATCAAGATTTTTCTGCTTCGCAGCTTCCTCAGCTGCAATTATTGCTTGACGCTCTTGGATCTCCTGTGCTTGCATCTCTTCAATCGGGCACATATATACTCCATTAAACATCTCGTTTGCCTCACGGAAGGCCTCACGCCAAGCGGTTTCCATTTTGAGAGCCAACTCGTGTTCTTCGTCAAACATAAATCCTGCGAGCGGCGGCACAAAGCACGGAAGAATATCTTCAAGAACCAACGTCGTGGTGCGGACATCCACCGCCTGAGGTTGGGATAGGATGAAGGTAAAAAGACGCCAATGCATCACAGCAGAGCTAATTAAAAAGTTCAACACGGCCTTGACGTCATCCGTGCTGAAGTACGGCCCAACAGCCATCTCAATGGGCACTTCAATGCGTCGTGGCTTCATCAGCGTGACCACGTGGAGAGGGATATTTTCGAGTGCCTCCATCAGCGCCACGCGCTGTCTTTTGTCAAGTTTTCTGTCAGTTTGCAGGCGATGTTCGATGCTGGCGGTCAGCTTAGGGTCGCGCATCTGCCCCATGATTGGTTCGTAGAGTGTATGGGGTACGTTTACGTGGGTGGGCACAGGGCAGGCCTGCACATTGAGCGCGTTTGTCATGAGCGCCTCGACCACCTGCCCCACATCCTCTTCGGTTGCATCCACAGGAAGACCCTCCAAGCACCGCAGCAGGGCTAAAGCATCTAACAGAACGCAGCGCGCCTGCTGGCATGAGAAGGCGTTATCGACGATGAACGCAAGCAGGTCCTCAAACCACTCCACCAAGGCCGTGTAGCGCAGCGCATCGCCATCTTGGTGCATGTAACCCAAGATCCGCGCGTCCTTGCTGGAATCGATGGCGTGCGCTGAGAAGTCACAAAGTTTTCTCCCAAGCACAAGATCATCCTCCATGATCTCAGAAACTACTTGCGTCGGTGGCGTCATCGCCGTGGTAGCATCCGTTGGGGCTTTAACTATGACATCTAGAGGAAAGCCCAGTGCGCGAAACAGCCCGATCCAAAGCAACCCCAGAGGTGGTTGTGAAGGGGATGCGAAAGTAGATAGGGGTTCATTTTTTCTCTCCGGCTGTTCTGAGGCACTACATCGCTTCGTATCATGTGCCTTCGCAGAGGAAGATCTACTGTATCGCGTTTTGATTTCATTTGATGCCGATACCGTTCTCTCGTGTCGTGCTGAGCCAGTTTCCGAAGGAGTCGTGGGTCGGGCAACGGCCTCAAATGGATTATTCAGTACTTGTATTCGCTTGCTGTCATCAAAGTACTTCTCCTCAAAGTATCGTTCGGTTTCGACACGACTTCGCACAAGGGACGAAATTTGAGAGGTGGCGGAAGCGCCCCAACGCTCTACAGAAGTGTTTCCCTCGTCGAAAGGATAGCTACTGTGAATTTTAGGGTAGCTGCGTTTAAACCAGTAAAGTAGCTCTTCAATATATGGAAGAGATAGAAAAGTTGCCTCATCGTCGGGGGCACTCATAACGAGTGAGCATGTATCTGGTGTCATCATTATTCTTTTCTGTGCGTGCTCCCTACTATCCCTTTATCATTTGAATATGCGATGGAGGAAGGCTGCTCAACGAGAAGAGAATTTTGGATGTGAAAAAAAAACGGATAGGCTCGCTTCCAATAGAAGAAAGACTCTTTCTAGAGTAACTGTTCTGCATAGAAAAAAGACGATAGCTTTCTTTTGGTTTCTTATCATATATATATATATGATACCCTAGTGCCATCGATACAAAACATCAGAGCAGGAAACCATAATTATTTACCATATGGAAATGACACAGAAGCAAACGCCTTTCACAATATGCACTTTTTCAACTCTAATTCATGCACACGCTACTGTCACACAGTACCGGAGTCGTCCTGTGACACATCATTGCTTCCGTTGTCTTCCAACTCACCCGCATTCTGTGCCATTTCAGGCATCAGCTGTGCCTTCTCCCGTATGTGCTCATCTTTTGGGAAAAATAGGTGCACTAACAAGTCATAAGAGGAATTTGGCCAGCAACAGGCCTCCTCCAACTGTCGCTGCAGCTCACTGGTGAGTGGAGTAGTGTGTTGGGTGAAATCCACAAGGCTCTTATACAGAGCTACTACGCTTCGCTTTAGGTAAGCTTCGTCCTGTGGCAGCGCTTTGGCCCCGGTCTGAAGGCCATCCGCATCGTGCAGGATTTGTTGGAGGTGATCAGGAAGGTAATCGAGATCCGACTCATCGCTTTGCAGCTCCTGGAGCCCCTTTAAGAGCTTGTTATTTTTGGCCACCTCCGCGCAACGTAAGATCATGGGTTCCATATGGCTAAGGCACCGCATCGCGGAGTTGAAGCGAATGGTATCCTCTAAACTCACGATAAGCTGTTCAGATGCCGCTTGACGGACCATGAAGCGTTTGATAGCACTTAACGCAGTGAGTGAATCACTGGTAAAAGTGACTGCTCGATCTGTCAAATCCACTATTAGTAACGAGTTAAGAAATTCACTCGTAAAGTAGTAAGTATATCGACACTTTTCATCAATGTTGTAGCCCCCTTGATAAACCTCAGACATGTCTGGTAGGAGCTGTGCAAGCCAATTGAACACGTGGTTGACCTTAAATTGCCCCTGCACCAAAACCTTTGAAAGGTAAAGTGCTGCCACTCCCTGTTCCGACGGAAACACCGCCATCGCGTCCGCAAGCCTGCTGACGCGCGCGTAAAGCGGTAAAGCGCATAGCAAGACCGTCTTCACCTGAGCCGTACGCGGTGCTGGGTTGGCGTACAAAGTGACCGATATCCTATCGCCCTGGTCTTCATCTGGCCAAAGGTGCACCTCTAACCGGCGACCACCTTTCGTGTTAAGGTTCTCCGACCAAGGCCTGGCGAGGGCCAGGGAACGCGTTTTGCCCGTTGAGGGTATACCGGCACGCCCCACCTCCACCCCGTCGCGGCCACAACGATTGGCGAGGGAGGTCTGCGGAATGACTTGCGTGGTCTCCGTTCCTACAAATGTGATCGTTGAGCTGCCGCGCAATACAGCATGCTCAATCGGCACATCCGCATCCACCACAAGTGATAGCATGGAGCTGTGCTTTAGTGGATTAAGGCGGACCTGTGCGTTGAAGGTTGAGGCGACGGCTACCAGCGGGGACTTTTTCTTCGCAGCTCCTGTCCGACGAGCCAGTTCCTTCGAGCTGCTCAGAATTTGGGCCTGAAGTTGGGCAATCGCGGCTTCAGTTTCGTTCTTCTTGGAGATGAGGTCGTTACGCTGCTGCATGCGCCGTAAAGCGGCCTCCTCATCGGCGCCAGCCACCTCCGGGCCATCGAGTACGAAGGAAATCAGCAAACCACTAAAGACGTGAACCAGCAAATCGGGTTGTGCCACGGACGTCGTGACGATGCCGCCCGCAATACTCATTACCTTTTCCCCAACTACACCAGACCAGAGGGGGTGAAGGCCGCCCGCGTTGGCCATCCCGCCCCTGCCAGGTACATTGCCGGCGGTATCGCCGTCGTTGCAGGTCTGCACGAGCGTGCCAAACACCCGCACGGCGCCATCCTCGTAGCCCACCAAAATCTCTTTTTTGTTGTCTGCATTCACATCGAATACCGAAAGACACGTAATATGAGATTGAACCTCTGCGTGTGAGGGCAAGTAACTATAACAGCGTCTCAATGAGTTTCTTGGCAGTATATCAAACACAGCAATCGAGCCGAACTTCGTGCCGTAGTATAGCTGTCGGCGCTCCGCATCCACGTGTAGGACCGTGATAGGCGCCTCACACCGAACCTCTTCGATGAGTTGGTTGTTCTGCACCAACCGAAGGACACGGTCGTTGCAGGCAAGACAGCAGATGTAATCTTCTAACACTTTCTCAGGCCTTTCCAGGGCAACCGCGCTGATGAACGCTGTCATATCATGCACTCGATCCGGCGATATAAAGAAGCCCAACTCTTTGGTTTCCTGGAAGGCAGTCACCATAAAGTCACCGGCAACGAAGAAAAATGGTGTTGATACGTAAAGTGAATGAATCTTCTCTGTGGCGTTGGTATCGGTCGTAAAAAAGCGTGTGCCTTTGCGCGTGTAAGCACTCAGCACACTACCGCAGATGCAAAAAAGCTGATCACCAAACAGGGTCATACAGCTCACAGCTGGCCTCTCCCCGTCATCACCATTTTCGCAGGAGGTGAACACGTCAACTCGTTTCCCCTGCTTTCCTATAGAGAATGCGCTAAGGGCACCCGTACGATCACCCATAGCGATGCGCTGTTTACTCTTCGCTCCCCTTGGATACACCAGCATACAGCGTTGTTCAGCGACGGAGCTGCTGGTAAGGTCCCTTCGCGTGAAGCTAATGGGAGGCAGCCTTTCGATAACAGCCGACATCAATTCTGCTCGGTAGGGGCGCACTATTTTCTAAAGGTTTTGTGGTTGAATAAATATACCCCCTTGCCTTTTTGAGTCGACTATCCACACTTGGACAGATCTGAATCATAATTAGACATTGAATGCATATTTTGAGTGAATTAAATAATAACATTTATAGTAAACATGTATTCATACCAATTGAACACTTCATTATAATGATATCAGATTTTCATTCCACCTAGTTTGTCTTTTTATGCATATTCGCGTCTCCATAACACTAGTGCTCGATCAGTATAGAAGGTGGTGAGGATGAAGCGACAATAAATCCAGTCAAAAACAACAATAACGTTTCCTCCCTAAATTATCTTTGTGTATCGCACAAGTCAACAACAGGGGGAAGGGGGGCGCACATATACTGTTATATATGTATATATCGATATCTATATACTTATATAATTCAGTAGTAACCTTAAATTGAATGCGTAATTCATTTTTTTCATTTGCCCATCTCCTGTATGGGTGTTTCCTGTGCACTCTTCGCCGCGCTGTTCCCCGCGCTTTGTATGGCAGCATGTTCGACCGGCTCCTTCCCAAACTCCATCACAAGACTGCTAATGAATCGCAGATGGTGCCGCTTCAGCCACCTGCCTAGGGGTTCGTCCTCCGAGCCGAAGAAGTTCTGCTGTGTATAGCTGCCCTCCGCGCCCGATGTCGCTACGAAGTGCCTAGCCACAGAAGTGAGCACATCCGGCTGGACCACCTCCCCCGTTCGAAGGTGTTCGACCGCAACAAGGCCAACAAATCGGCCAACATCTTCGACGCCCACCGCACCATGGGTGTAGCTACCTATAGAAAGATGCTCCGAGGGACGAGGGGGGATTTTAAGCGGCGTCACCGAGCGCACCCGAACATTCTCCCCAAGCACGGCGATCATAGACTTTAGGACGCTATCCATGGCCAAACTGAGCTCCTTTGTGGCGTCCTCCGGATGGTTCAGGACTTTCCCCTGACTCCTATCAAGCATTTCCTCAAAGCGATATTTAGTCTGTAGGCAAACTTTTTGAAAGTGCTCATTGCGAGCCGCGAAGTCGGTTTCACTGCACATTGTTATGATCGCCGCACCGTTGGCGGGAGTAGAACTGACGCAGCGGACTAAGAAGCCGTTCTCTGTGATTCGATGAGTCTTTTTCATAGCCCGGGCAAGGCCCTTTTTGTGTAGAATCTGGATTGCTGCATCAATATCGCCATCGGACTCCTTTAATGCTGAAGTGCAGTCCATGATGGCTGCTTCTGTACGATAACGCAAAGACTTAACCAATTCCATAAGTTCTTTTTTATCCTTTGGAAGGGCCAGACGAGCCAGAGAGAGGCGAAACATTTTTATCCCCCTTTTTTATGCGTCCGTGCACGCGGAGAACGCTAGATTTACGAGGACAAAATACTTTGAAGAAAGAAGTGGTAAATCAAAAAAAAGAATCAGTCAGAGAGAAATACGCGTGCCAATACTAGTAGGGTGACTTGTGAGCTCAAATCCAGCTCCTCACTTTTTCATCCAATACATACCCCTTTTCAGAGTTAAAGACCATAGAAAGTGGAAAGAATGAGCGAGTTTCCCATGTAAGAAGCGTAGAACTTTATTCTGGTGCCTCTTCTTACACCTAGACATGATGTGTTTAAAGATGTTTGACACGAGTTTAGGCATTTCATCAACATTAAAATCATTCAAGTAATGAAAGTTTACTAAACTAAGAATACATACATGTGAAATAGTCAAAATAGCAGACACTCAAGGTAAAAATATATTAAATCAAGTAGATGGACAATGATATGCTGAAAGCCACCAGTTCTTTTAGCAACTATCATGGAAATTCTCATATTTGTGGTGATCGAGATAGACACGGGCCGACGTCACACACACACACACACACACACACACACACACACACACACACACACACAC